ACAGAGATTGGTTCGGAAGCTCTCTGCCTAAGCTTTTCAAGCTCTCCTTCCACGTCTCTGCCCTCCGGGTTCCATGGATCAAGTTCCTTAGGACCAAAATGTCGCCAATCCCATCTGAAGGCGGAAGCGTCTTGTCCTTAGATGGAAAAACACAATCCTGATCCTGAAGCTTGGGTGGCTCACCCGCCTGATCCTCGGGAACAGCGAGAGGAAAAACTATATCCCCAATCGGAAGTTCCTTGCGCTTGACCCGGATGGTTCTCAGGTCATCATTGTCAACTGCATCTTGGCTACCCTTTAAGGGAGCTGCAATGTATTCCTGTCTCCAAATGAAGCCAGGTTGAATGTGGTACCCAAGAAAGATACCATCTTCGGCCTTTGGGTCGAACTTAGAAGCATTCGTGATGTTCTCTTTGGGGTTATTCCAATAGAGAACCTTGGCACCAAAAGGTATGTGCATACCGCTAAACCTTTCACCGAACCTTTCGTTCCATGGGATCTTCGCGGAGTCCATCCTTTTGGACAAGTTTAGAGCCATAGTATGATGTTGAGCAGCCAGTGGCCAGAGCTTCGTTGGAAGTCCTGCCTGAAGCAAGTTCGCCCTAGTGCCCTCGAGCACAGTACGAATCTCTCTCTCAACAACAGACTTGCTCTCATCGACGTAAGGTCGGGAGGAATTGTGACGAATTTTGTACTTTCCAGTTGCATTCTTCAGTTCGGGGGCACTGTCAGAGTAAATGATCCCTGGTTCGTCATCTACAGTGAAGTAGTGCAGCAGGCAATCATAAACCTCTTCCGACTTCTTTCTACCTGCAGGGTACACGTAACGAAAGTTAGTGAACACGTCCTTAACCACAAGAGCAACTTTCTCACCTTCGATCCCAAAATCACGCAAATCCTTAGTCACAATGTGATCAATGGTCACGTGGTCTCCGAATCGATAGTGGAGCTCCCCCTCGCTTTCTGTTATGCTGAAGATGCAGGCATCAGAAGGAAGCTTGGCTACCCTATTGTCCAACGTTCTAACATCCACGTCCGTTTCGACCTCCTGCCATTTCTTGACATTCCAAGTACTCCGGATGACATGCTTTGGAAACCTTGTTGCAGGCGCTCTAAAGGTTTTGGGAAAGTGCCCCGCAATCATTTGGGGAAAGGAAGGATGTCAAACCCAACCTGGTTTGTTCAAGTAGTCCGCCTTGATGCCCAACGGAGTGGCCTCTGTCAAAGCTTTTGCAATCCTGGGGTCGAGGCCTTTACCCGAGGATTCACCTTCCGGCTCAGATTCTGCTGCATTGGCGTGCCTTAGCCGGCCGCTGAACGGGGAAAACCCGATGTTGCCTGGACGACTGGCGAATGCGCCGACTTCTCATCCTTGGCAGGCATGGCGATTGCGCCATCGCCGATTACCGGGACTCGCCCGCGCAGCTTACAATACAGCTTTCGGCCTTCCGGTGTCACGAAGTAAGGTGTCTTCCCTGCATACCAGTGAAAGTCGAAACCCTCATCCATGCACCTCCTCCCTACAGAACACACTGGTGGCGTAGAGTCGAGCACATAACACGACCCTGTTGATTTCGGGAACCTCTAGCTTCACAGCGTCACTGCCTTTCACGGGTCCGTTGGCCGTGATTAAGGATACTGGTCGGGAGGACGGCTCAATGGGCACATCAGGGAAGTGAGCTCGGCAGTCGGCCTTGCTGATTAAGTCCTCTTCACTTCCGGTGTCTGCTAAGAACTCAAGACCGGGGACTAAGCCAGCACATGACGGTCGTACCAGTCGCTCACACTCTTCACAGAGGAACCCTTCGTCGTTGCATTCATACCCACACTGTGCAGGCATGCCTTGGACACGACATTCGATCATGTTGGCGAGCTGTTTGGCCCACACAAGTGCCTTTTTCAGATCCTTAGGATTCGAGCGGGGACACTGTTCGGCAGTGGGATAGACCTCATCGTAGACTCTGGGAAGGTAGGCATGCTTTCGCCTTTTGCCCTCAGGTTCTATCGCAATCATTTCTACAGTGTTGTCGAAACTCACCTTAGGGAGCTCTTGCATGTAGAAGATCGTCTTGCCTACCCATGTGCTGCCGGGCCCGTTTGCTGGGGCCTTTCTCCAGTTGTAGATCTTGCTTCCCACATAAGGAGAAATCGGTGACACCTGCTCGAGCTTTGCTTGGCTCCTAAGCTTCTTGGGGTTCACAGGACAGGAGTTGTCTGGAACATACCAATCTGTTCGGTACTTCTTGTGATGGCGGATTACTTTGTTGCCGGTGAAGTCTACCTCCCAAAAGTCCTCATCATGCGATGCGGCCATAGCAAGCTTTGGCGAGATCTTAAGATCCGCTGTCGAGAATGCAATGGCACATGCGGCGGCCTTTGGCGCCTTGTCACTTGACTTCGCCCTGGGACTTCTCCCTCTGCGCGGAGCTGGGGAGTTAGCCCTTGGATTAGGAGCTGCTGGGGTGGCTTCGGACTTTGGAGCGGGAGCTGAAGGCTTCTCAATGTCCTTATGTTGGAACCGACACTTGTCACCTTTCGTACAGTTCCCTTCTTTCCAGAATTTGCAGGTCACATTAATCTTCCTGGGTTTGTCACCTTTTGGGGACAAGGATCTCTTCTTGTGGAGCAAGGGGCAATTGTTGCCTCGCTTGCAAGTTCCTTTGAGGAAATCATAGCATACTCCCTTCGGGCTAGGGGACCTGGACTTACCGGGAGACTGGGACCTGCCTTTGCTAGGTGATCTTGGCCTTGGGCTCTGTGATCTGTCACGGCCTCCTCTGGAAGAGGGGCTGGAAGCGTGACCAGGGGACTTGGAAGCAGGTGCACCGTACTTATCGACGTGAGACCGTGCAATGCGGTCACGGTTCTTGCGTTTGCGCTCTCTTGCGTTTGCGCTCTCTTGTCAAAAGATCTTTGAGCGACTTCACAAGGAATTTGTACGTGTGCTGCTCAGTGCCCTCTGTTGCCCTGTCGTAGATCTCAAGATCATACTTAAGCCTTTTGGACTGCCTGATCTCACGAAGAAAGATGTCTCTCAGGGTTGTTTCCTCCGGGGTATGGCTAAGTCCTGACATTACAGATTCCCAGTTGCTAATAAAGACAGAAAGGTCATCGTTGATGAGCCTAACTTTTAGCAGATCTTCAACGGAGTAAAGTGAGCCCACCTCCTCGTTCGTCTTGAAATATTGATCGAAGAGGTGGAGCACCTGTCGTCCTCGCACCGCCCTGAACTTTGCCGCTTTTGTCTCCTTAAAGACAAGGATTTCGCGGGACAGTTCTCCCCTAGCGACTTTGGTGGAGCAGCGAGGAGTTTCGTGTCAAGGGTGAGGAATTTCTCGGGGTCCCTGAAGGATTCTTGCATAGCGTCTTTGTCGTAAGCCCTCATCACCCATTTAAACGCCTCATCAGGAGAGTCTGATGCAGCCCTGACCGCCTCCCTTGCCGCCGTTTTCCACGAACGATACGACTCTGGACTTGGGAACTCCGGAAGGTTTATGGACTCTGCTTCTTTCACTTTGGGTTTGCCAGATTCATCTTTGGGCTCACCCTTTAGACTTCTCAGACTTTGGAGAATTGCCATCTGGGTCTCTAGGAGACCTGTGTTGAAGACCTCCGACACTGGTGCGCCGGAATCGGCCGCTGGAGGGGCCGCTGTTCCTGGCGGTGGTGCCTGGGAAGGTCCTGCTTTGGGGGTTGCAGATGGTGTTGCAGACGGAATGGGCTGTGCACTCAAACCTCCTGGATTCATTGACTCGAACAGAAATCTAGCACCTTGGGGGATAACATTGGGCATTGAGAACATAGGCGCTTGAGGAGCCTTTGGGACGACAGAAGGACCTGCAGCAGGCATTGGCTGGCCCTTAGGGGCAGCTGGATTGACCTGATCCAAGACCTTTTCCAATGCGGTCTCAGCAGAATCCAATCTGTCCTGAAGCTCTTCGTTCTGTTCCCTACACTGACTGAGGGACGCCTCGTACTCTTCTTTCTGCCTGTTCTTGAACGCTTGGAATTGTTCAACCATGACTTCCTGAGAATTCTCGCTGTGCTGTCTTGCCTGTTCTTCGAGGTTCTGTGCAAAGCGCGATTCCGCCAATTGTTGATCCAGTGCATCTGTGATTCGGCTTTGTTGAAGTTCCGCAAGTTCTTGACGCAACCTTTGATCTTCATCATAGGCATGCGCCTGACTCAAGGTCATTTCAGATAACAGGAGCTTTTCACGATTGGCTGCCTTGTACTCACTTGAGGCCAATGCGGCTTGCAGTTCCGCTACCACTTCAATTTGATTACGTTCTGCTCTGTGCTCCAAGTCGGCTGTTTGAACTGCGGATGCTTCTTGATAGGTCAGCATGTGTTGCCTGTGTTTTGCTTCTGCTTGAGCTTCAAGTTCTCCGACTTCTAGCCTGATCTGATTGACATGTACTTCAACACTATACTGAGGTGCGAAGACGTTGAATTGTTGGACCGAGGCTGGTGCCGGGAAAACTAAGCCGGGGGCGCCTGTTCCTGCATGGCCACCCGTGACCGGGGGCTGTGTCGGGCTCACGGCGCTTGTAACTGTATCCATGTCTGGAATAAGTTCCGGTTCGCTCATGCACTGATTGTACTGTACCCAACCAGTTGTGACCAGGCCGTAGGCTATACGGCTGATAACCTATAGTTGTAGGAAACCACTGCACACACGCACTGATTATACCCGTCCAAGTGATAGCAGTTAGGCACGGTATACCATTGAGTAGCTACGCCCTTTTTCCTGCTAGAGCACTTGTGCCACAATGTCACACACAGCATGATACTTCACACGTGCACAAATTACATCCTGATCATGTCCAACAGAGTGGAAGCTGTGGGTGTCCTAATTGTGGTCTTTAAGTTCATGTGCCGTAATTATTGAGCCCTTAGCTGTACCCGGTCGAGGAGGCGACCAATAAATTCATGCGGCAGATGCATCTAACTTTCTGAAGTTGTAGACCTGACCGCCACTGCCAGCATCTTGTTCCTGCCTCCTCGAATCTGCTCTGCACGTAGCACTCGTTCGCTTTGTCCTTCCGACATCGAAGGGAGCCAAGCCTAAACTGAGTATGCCTAAATTTCATCACGAACATTCCGAACGGGTCCTGTCTCTCAGTTACACTGACAAACCCATGGCAAGGCATGTAAAGACATGGCAGCTGGGAAGCTGTCCAAAGGTTCGAGAGACGCCTCAAGGTCCACACAGCATGACATAGCAAGACAACAGCACTATCGCGTTACTAACCCCACCGAACTGGCTGGTCCTTAAGGTCGAGAGCCCATTGCAACTTCTCCTTTGCGTGAGGAAAAGCGCTGAAGTCAAAGCGGAGACTTGCTCCTGCCAGCTCCCGCTCCTTTCTGGGCAGATGATGGACGTGCTCTGCACCTCGGCATGATGGCATGCATCTTCGAGGGATTTTGTCACTACCACTGTGATGTGCCAATCTGGGCTGCGCACATGCCCCCAGCCTTTTCTGGGTCGCGGCTCCTCAGTCATGGCAACTTGCCGGCACTCTTGAACGGCCCGACAACTGACTCCACGTTCTGTGCGTTCCAGGCTTCCGACTCGCGACCAGCTCCTGCTGCATCTCGTCGGGTGCGGCGTGGCCGATGACCTGGGCGGAGAACAGTGCTCATCATGCTCATCCTTGAAAGATGAGTGCTCGATGATCAGACCACCCTCAGCACAACCGTCATCGCCGTGTCGATAATGTGGAAGCTGTGACACTTAAATCAAGATGACAGTAACAGTTAAGAACTGCGCTGCCACAGGGCATAAAGCTGCAAGGGCGCTGCATCCTCCTGGCACGATCCTTTATGACTGCGCAGGGAGGGCACAGAGAAGAGGACGACGACAAGAAACCGCGGCAACGAGCAGAACTGCCCTGCAACAAGCCTGCACCACCACCAGTCCAATGACCGCAGACGCAAGTGCGAGCGAAAGGACCAAGAACGGACAAACAAAGCAGACAGAAAGATACGATACGTCACTGCAATGGCGAGGGAACAAACCATCTTGTATCACCAACAGGTCGCATTGAGACACAGATGGCCTGTTGATGAACGCAAGCGCACACCATTCTTGATATCCTGAGGACCGTGCCTTTTGATCCTTGTCCACGCGTTTGATGACACAGTTCGGGCCTCGACAAAGCGTCAACAAACGAGCGGCGTTCCCTTCTCGTATCTTGCTGCAATCGCGCCTAGAATGTCAGCGAAGCGCTGTGAACATCCTCTGACAACTCAGCAGCAGCAAAGCTCTGCAAGCCTCTGAGAAACTAGGTAACAATGCTTGCACAGCGGCGTGCTTGAGCCCTCAAGTGTCTCGGCCACTCGGCTGCACATTGGGACAGTGCGACGTGTCCTTCTCCCTCTTCCTCCTCCAAGCCCTCCTTGCCAGCTGGAACTCGACTTTGCAAACGCTAACAGAAATGGTGACATCGTTGACATAGTTGATGCATCAGCGCATGACACAGCAGCAGCTGATCATTCTTCCGTATGATCCTATGCTCCAGTGTCAATGCAACGAAAGCCTCGAAAGTTCAGAAGGTGCAAAACGTGAGCAGGAACCCAAACAATCCCCCACCCACCTCGTAACAATAAACCCGATGCAGGCTGCCGGACCAGATTTTACGTGCAGAAAATTATGTCCAGCACAACTGCAGCAGAACATGACTTAGCGAAGAAGCAAGACATAGTCGACAGAGCATGTGCTGCACGGCCGAAACCACGTCTGCATTGCTCGGATGCGCCTCGTCTCTCTCCCTTTCTGCCGCCGTCATGTCCTGGATGTCCAATCTTCTCAGCAGCAAAAGAGCAGTCAGACTCGGCGCACGAAGTGTACGACTAGTGATTTCTCGACCAACGGGTATCTGATGCGGTGTCCTGACAACGGTATCGCGGAAGTATCTCTTCCAAGTTCTCGAAGGCTAATCAATGCTGTTGAAGATGTTTAACACAGAAATCAAAAAAAAGCAACTGCAACCGGTCCTGCCGACTTGAAGCCCACCGTCAGTGGAAAAGAGCAGGCATCAGCGGCCACACTCTTAGTATCTCTTAGTCTCTCTTCCTCTGAGACTGAGACTCTGTTGTTTACATGTCGCGTTTCCACTGTAGAGGCCGTGTGCACATCTCTCGTCTGAACAGACGTCCGCTAAAGCTCGGAAATCTGCTTCAAGAAACAGTGACCATCTTCCCAAAAACAAGATGTGTGCGAGATGCGACAAGCGTCTGAGTCTGTACAGTTGTTGAGGAAACGCAGCAGTGCGGCAGAACTTACTGGAGCAAGCTCTGACCCAGAAAAACAAAGCTCAACAAAAAGGCTTCGACTCGTCAGGACAAGCAAGCATTGGCAAGCATGTGGAGGCTAGACCTTTGCCGCATATCTTCTCCGCACGACCTGGCACATGGGATGTTCCACACTTCCCACTCCTGCAAGCACTGCAATGCTGGCCCAGAATGACGACCTCGTGCTCGATGCAAGTGACTGGGCCACGAAGCCAAGCTGCCTGGCATGTGAAGAAAACTTACCACACTGGGCCAGACGAAACAGATTGCATCCGCCACTCACACTCGATCAAAGGTCAGCACCTAATGTCCTAATGGCCGGTGTTTGGGGTTCAGTTGCCGCAACATGCCCTCTACATGCAACGGAACACCAAGAAAGTTTGTCGGCCCCGCTCATTCCAAAATGCCAGTCTGGCCAGCGGGCTCGTGCGAGCCGCATGGAGCTCGGACTCCAGCAACCGCACCTCTTCGGCTCAGAAGGCGGTCTCATGGCATCCCAGAGAATAGAGCATACACCCTACACCTCTTCTGGACCACGTGCCTCTGCAGCCTCGCGGCGCTGCGCTGCTGCCATCTCCTAGCAGCTACCAAGAGACGGCGATGCGTCACAATGACCATCCCTTGCTCAGCCAACAAGAAACCGTACTCGGCAGCTGAAAGCTGGTCCTGCTGCCAGTACACTGCCTGTTGCTCTTCGGAGTACCAAGGACCGTTCGGAGAAACCTTGGCCGTTGAGCCCTGGACATCGTACTGCTGTGCAGACGGTAGAGTGCTGCACTGCTCCTTTCGTGGGAGTCGTGCATCGCCTGGCCTCCACATATGCCTGAGGGTACACGTCCTCGAAGCCATATCTCGGTACCTGGCAAAATGTCCACTTCTCTTGCCGTTCAGACACGGACACTCCATGGACTTGAACGATTGCATGAACCGTTCACTGAGCGTACATTGACCACATGACATCCATTTGAACCTCAAGAACGAAAGGAGTGACGGTAGCTTAGGACGCTCAACGACTCCTCACAACTTGCAACAAGAACCTAATAGTGACAAAATCCTGCTAAAATGTTGGGTGATCGAATGGTCTGCTGATGAACGGAACGGAGCATGCAAGCAGAGAATCACTCACACAAAAAGGACACTCACGGGGCCAGTGGGACAAGAACGTCAGGGCAGCAGATCAACTGAAAGTAGCTGGGTTGGTTGTAACGCGTTTTGCTTCGTCGTAACTTGATGTAGCTTTTTTGCGTGCCTTTTAAACGGCTCCCACAAACCCCTAAACCCTAATCTCCAAACCCTAAACCCCCAAAAAAACCTAAACCCTGAACACATAACTCCCATAAACCCTAAACCCTGAATAATGCTGTATTTCACAGCACTTGCGGTTTGTGACCAAAACAGAAGTGAAAGGTGAGCAAGGTTTTTTGCATCCCTCCTGCTGAAACGATCCCGAAAAAAGGACGAGTAAGCAACAAATAATCCATTAACTCATTCCACTGAAAATGACAAAAGTTGACTAAGCAAAAAAAACTCACAACTGAGCGTGCTTCCCAATTGAAGTAGACGCGGGCACACGGTCAAAAAGCAGCTTTCTGCTGAACCCTGAATGTCTCAGGATCAGAACTGCACACTCCGCAACCTCTTACTTATCCCAGCCCACCCACAAACGTCAAAATCTCGTCCAGAAGCGGGAACTGTCTTAGCGAGTTCCCTGCAGCATCCAATCGTCAAACCCTAATTGTAGCCTACATCTTCGCCGCTCAGGAAGCAATAAGAAGCAAAGAAGTCGCATCTTCGATGTAACTCCAATCAGGGGCACGAAGGGTGCGTAGCCCATGAAGCATCAGCTACCCAAAGCAGGCCCCCATGGATACTTTCAAGCGCCCCATGTGTCACTGATTTGTCCTTGGGTTGTTAAGGGGGGTGGCGCCGCTGGCGGTGTCAGCATTACTGAAAGTTGGCGTGAACATGCGACTAGCGGCTAGCAGCTGAATACAATGATTTTTTGGGTGAAACTGCAGAGTGTCCTGAAGCAGAAAGCAAAGCATTTGTCAAGGCTGGGCCTCGGCCCCGGCTGGGCCGGCAAACTCTCCGAGTTTGCAGTGACATAAAGGCACTGCGAAAGCCTCCTGTGTTGAAAGTTTATCGAAGGCACAAGGAATCCTGCGTACGATGCCGCCATGAGGATTCAGCAGACGATGCTTTTCCTTGCTGGAACAGGCCGCTCTTGGACCACAGCTTTTTCTTTGGCTGGTCACAGCATGTCAAGCTCCACGGTGAATTTCCCGTCCACAAAATGACTGCGGTCTACGATTCAAGGCTGTTTGCCATCTTCGATTTGATACTGCAGAGGCCAAGGAGCATCAAAATCCGTGAGCTTGGGTTCATTTGCAGTGCCACAAAGCACCTCTGCTCAGGATGACGTCCAGCCTGTGCAACACAGCTCGTCAGTCACAGAGCTTGAAATCATCCTTCTGGCTACACACTGGTGCCATGTACGTGGCCTGGCGGATGTCAGAGGCCCAACGGATTGTCAGGCACTGCCCGCGCAGCTTCATCGGCCCGTTTACGCAGATATTTTCCAACCTGGCCGTGAGAAATCCGAAGAACCTTTTGATGCCTGTTGCCTCAACTCCTCTCCTCAGACTTCAAGGTGCCTTGGACCGCAGCTCTGCAAAGACGGCCACTGCCAGGAGCTTCGTGCCTAGACAGTGGGAACCAGACAGGGTCGGCCGCAAATAATCCGTCGAATTCTATATGAATGCTGTTGATGCCTCTCTCGTTCAGATGAATGCCATCTTCTGCGAAGTACTTTCTTCTGCTGAGCTTCGATCCTGCGCACAGGAGGACTCCAAGACACGCTTTATGCCGTCATGCACGAGAAGGTACTACGTAGCGGCGGAGTCGTGGGTGTGACTGTGATGCAGATGACCGGACATCCCCTAGCAAGGATCGCACAAAACCATACCTACCCTGGCCTCCGAGAAGATCGAAGGCTTCCACCAACGATGTATGCGCCTAAGCTCGAAGCAAATCGAGAGGGCTTGTCACATCTGCACACCGTGCGCAGTACGGTCTAGGCCTAAGCCCGAAGCCACTAGCTCAGCTGGCAAAGTGGTACGGCTCCGCTTCGCCTGCGCAGGTCAGATCCTAAAGCTTGTAGCTGAACCGGAAAAAGGGCCTGCTTCTCCAACGGCTCATTGATGGCACCTCAGCTCTCCATGATGAATGACCTCACAGCTCCTTGCGCTTGCTTCCCCGCGTATTCCTGCTTTTCCTGAGGCGCACGGCGTGCTGACGCCTCCGCAACTCGGCGAACTGCATCCGGCAAGCACCGGTTAACCACCTCCTGACCATTACGCAGAGGCAGATACGCTGAACTTCTGAACTTCTGAATTGCTTCCTGCTGCACGTCGGCTTCCGAATAGGCTGGTGGAGGCGTCACCAACACGGCTTCGGGCCTAGGCTCCAGGCCTCAGTCTCGCAAAGCATCGCAAAGTGCTGCGAGCCACATCCAGATCGTTGACGAGGCTTTGACGCTCCATAAACTGCAGGCAGAGATCTCGGTAGTCCTTCTATCAGAGAAAGCAGCTGGTCTGCCGTCACGCAGTCTGCATCAATGCACGGAAACGCACCGTTACTTTTTCACCCGAGAGGCCGCCAGCCACAGCTGTTTTGACTGGCACGACTGTAACTACCAGCCTTGCACAGAGGCTCTCAGCCATCGGCCAATCTTTGACGAACGGCGAGTTGGAAATGGGGGGCCCGGCCAGACGATACAGTACGACTTGCCCACACCCTGCAGCCTGCTACAAAGGCAACCTTCGCAAGCCAGCATTGGCCCCCCAAGCACGGCGGAAGCTTTGCCCACGGCCCTTGGAGAGTAAAGACCTCTCTAATCAGGGCTTCCGAAGAGGGGGCTCACAGGGGAGTTTCCGAAAATTGGGGGTACCTATCTTGGGGCCTTTTAATGAGGATCCTACTATTGAGGGTACTATGTAAGGGTCCCCTGTTTTCGGAAACACCACAGACTCCATCCCAAGAAGATCGGGGCAAACTGTTCGTTTCGCTTGACCAGCGCAGAGGTGCGCACGGTTTGCTAAGCACATCGCGCGACTTCCAGGTGAAGCCACACTTAGAGTTGAAGATCCTTTGGGCTGAACCAAAGCTTGCGGTTGCAAGTGTCTCAGCCGCTTCATTTGTCGCTCACTTCTTTTTGTCACCCTTCCGCCGCAACCTTTGCAGTGTCAAAGGCTGCACAGCACAGCACCTTGCCACAGTGTCGCCAGTTCTAAGCGACGAGCTCTTCGACTTTGGCCTCGTCATACTCGGCTTGCTTTGATTGGGCCATCTGGTTCATGATGGAAACCTTCAGGCAGACCGCCAAACGCAAAAAGCAGTGTGGAAAACAGAGGTTCTTGCCTCTGACCACACGAAAGATCCGTTGTCCGTTCCAGTCCAGTATGCTTGCCACAAAGGTTAAAGGATGATGTCGAAAAGCTCGCACTCATTGGAAGCAAGCAAAGTTTAAGGGGAGAGCGAAACTGATTGAAGCGAAAATCATTGGTGTGAGAGTACGCAAAGGAAAATCGCAAGTCAAGTGGATAAACAGCTTTGATCGCTGTAGTTGACAGCAACATGTGCACTTGAGAAAGGGAGGGCTGAGGCCGTGGCCACGAAGTACAATATGAGACACACGATGAAAAGCTCCCAGCACACCTGAGCTGAGCAAGGTTCAGATTGAGTGGGCACAACAGTGGAATCCTATTCAAGCCATGGAGCAGCACGCTGCTTGTTTTTGCTCTGTCAAAGGCCTATAATCATGGTCCACGATTGAAAGTGCCCTTTCGATTCTTTCGATGCAGCTCAGGCGCCTTGAGAAAGCCTGAGAAGTACGCAAATCTGCAGAGTATTCTACACCACAATGCACAGATCTGCCAGAAAGTACGCGGAGAGCCGTTACACCTCTACACCATTTATTCGCATGTCCAGGGCCGAGTGGCTTGTGGGGGCACCAGGGTCGAGCGACGACAAAGACACTTTCCCGTCCTTGCATGCAGCAGCTGCGAGGAACACAAGGGGTGCGGGAGGCGGACCGTCCACATCGGGACGGCATCCCTGCCTCCTTCAAGTGACCTGCACTCCCATCCCCCGTATTGAAATAGACAAGATTCGCCCGCCCCAAGCCCCTAGGGGCAACATGTATCAGCAAACCGTAAAATTCAAACAACGCTCAATGTCCAAAAGCCACTACAATCACAGCCAACAGGAAAAACAAAGTAAGAACCTTCGCAAAAGAGCTCTGCTCCCAGAATCTCCACAAGCTGAACATGCAGTCCCGGTATCTGTTCGAGAAGCGGCCAACTCAATCTCACACAGTTCAAGTGCCTGAAATGGCGCATTGCATCGAAGTCAACTTCGGAACTTGGAACTCGCAAGCATCCGTGCTTGTCTAATCTGGGCGGCCTTGTCACCGTTCTTGTCCCACGCCTCCATGACTCGGTCTGCAATTTCGTGAGCCTTGTCCTCTGTGTGATACCTGGGACAACGTTGGAAGGCTGTTCGGCATCTGCAGACCTCCACCACCCGTCGATGTTGCCAGCGAGGTTGCAAGTGCAGGACTTCCTCCAGCACGAGTCTCTTGTCGTCGTCGCGGCTGAACAAGTGCTCCGGGGCGAATCCTTGGTCACCGATCTCGGACAAGTCTTCGACTGAGCACAAACAAACCTTCATCTCAGCACTTCTTGCAAGAGAGACACTGGACTGCTGCTTAAATTTTGCCAGGAGCTTTGCTCGAAGAGCGGCTACCTTGGCAGGGACCAGGGAGGGCCTTCTCTGAAGCGCTACCGGCCTCGAAGAACCCGCCGCTGCAACCCCCCAGACCCAGACCCAGACCCAGACCGAACATACGTACCGACAAGAATCCTTCACGCTGATCTGGAAGTTTTGGCCGGAGACAGCCTACGAGTAGGTTGAATCTTCAGCTGCTCGGAAGACGGAAAAGCCGGAATCTCGCCTCCACCAGACCGTTGAGGTAGTCGAAACCCGTAAGCATTACCTTGCAGATATTTCCGTGTCAGCACGCACACGCAGACGTCTCGAGCTGACGTGCCCAGGGCCAAGGATCCTGCCTGGAAGGCAGTGGACCCGAAGAGATTGACAAAAACAACAGCTTGACCATTGACCTTGACCACGCCTTTGCCTGGATGCACTGCACTTGCAGGTGCACGCAAACGTCTGATTGGGAGCTGGCACTGCCTGCCTAGTGCGGTGGCGATGAAGAAGGTCCAAAAGGGCATGAGTAAGTAGCCACAGCACATGCCTCAGCCGTCATGTCGTGCACATATCTTGTCATCTCGTCAATACATTGGTGGAAGTTAGCATACAGCTGTGATCTATTTCCACAATGGCAAAGCTGCCACACATGTCGAAGGCAGCATTGGGCCAGGACCTGCAAGCTTCTGCCAAGGCATCGATTTTGACTTATGCGTGTACACGCAGTGTAGACTAAGACTGAGAGCCATGCGCTAGAAGGAAGATGCCAAGAAAGCCATGCTTCTCCGTGAAGTTCACCTCGGATATCGTGATGACTCGCGCCTTGACAGCATCGCGCTCGATCTCGAGCCAAGCTTGCCAAGCCACGGTCCACAGCTTCATGCGATTGAAGACATCAGTCTTGCTCTTCGCCTCCTCGAGAGTGCTTCACTGAACCGGACCACACAACTTGGAGTGCTTGCAGTCGGGAGAGTCTTCTGGGCGCATATCTTTGCGCCTCCATTTCCTTTGCGAATTCCTCATCGGTGGATCCAGACATTCGAGCTGCCTGCAAAAACCCGGAAATGCTAGAAAAGGAAGATCGTATGTGCATGACAGCATGTCCGACAAATATGTTCAGGAGAGCCTTGGACACAAGGTACGGGGGCCTCGGAAAAAGCTCCATCATGACCAAAACAGGAGGTGCTGTGCAAATCTCGCGCAATCACTGCATACTCCTCGTCTCCCTCTTGAGACTGTCAATCATTGCCTTGCACTTAATGAAAAGATAATAAACTGACATACCAACCAGTGCCGAGGGTGACACGCCCCTCTGAACCTCTACAATGCACACAAACTTCAAGCACGATCTCAACCGAACAAACCAAGCTGCAGCTCGCCAACGGCGGTTCCAAACCCCCATAGCATGCAGGGAACTGTCACCTGACCAATCAAAGACGAGCCCAGCTTCGAGCGCCCGGGGCAGGGCTCGAGTTTGGTAGCGATATGGAGCAATGCCAGCATATATGTAGCGATCATGTTATTGTGAGCGTAGTTATGCTGTGACACTATTATTCTGCTGCAGAAATAGCGGATGCAAACCTGCCTTCATCCACAGGTTCCAGAATGTGACCTACCCAAGGCGCACATGCAAGCCCCAGAACGGGGCATCATGATGTGCACCCCTTTTGCTCGAAACTTGACAAGGCGCGGTGCTGTCATCGAAGGGAGCTGTGGTGGTACTGCAGTCTAGCTTGCAAGGATGTTGGTACCACGCTATGAGACCTCGGTCACCCGATGCAATGCAAATACAAGCGGCGAGACACCCATCACCTTGGAATCAAAGCGTGACAATACCCAAAGCTGCAGGCCAAGCTTCCGTTTGTTGTGTGACAACTTTCTGCAGCACTGACAACTTGCAGCACGTGGGGGAAGAGGAACATCATGCCTGCACTGTAGGTTGCATATCATCCTCAATATGAGTAACCATCAGCATCGAGCTGATTTGCCAGCAGCATTGGTGCATACACTGCCTGAGTGCAAACCCGTTCCGAAACCAACCTGCCACGCGAGTCGTGCTGAATCTTGCAGTCAGTGTGCAAGCGAGGCAGGCAGACGGAGGACAAGACTCCAAGAATGATCCACCACGCGGCCTTGCAAGGACGGCCCTACCTACCCCGTCCCTCGCTGTCCCATCACCATCCTAATTCCCGCATCTGTACGAGAATCCTGCGCTGTTTCTCTACCCTTGCACTGTCTAGCTGTAGTTTGATGGATGACACATCTTGCGTCAACATGCGTCAACGCCATCCTGACCAATGCTTTCCATTTTCAAGTTCTCGCTCCTTTGCTGCAGAGTCTCTTCTCACATCGTTCAGACTGTACCATTCCAACCACGCAACCTCCCAAACAACTGAAGACAGAAACAAAAGACACCACAAAACAGGTGGGAGACGCATGCCACCGACAGAACAATCCTTGAGACCATGCCAAGATGTCAAGCCAGGGTTCAATCCGACCCACTACCGAACTGCTTAAACTTGGAGTGGGAAACTTCACCAGCCGCAGATGGGAGCGTGGAGACGAAAGGCGAAGGAAAAGGAAGGGAGGCCACAAAAACCATAGAGCCCAGCGTGCATGCAGAGAGGAACAAAAACCGACATGCGCCGATACGCCGATCGCCCGCCCCCCCCGCCCCCGCCGGCCGCTAATGCTCCGATACGCCGATACGCCGTTACGCCGTTCCCCCCCCCCCCCGCCGGCCGCTAATGCTCCGATACGCCGATACGCCGATACGCCGTTCCCCGCCTGGCACGCCAATACGCCGATCGCCGCCCCCCCCATACACGCCCAAACGCCGATAATTACGCCGTTCCCCTCCCCTGGTATGCCCAGACGCCGATACGCCGATACACCGTTCCCCCCCCGGCCGCCAACGCACCGATACGCCGTTCCCCCTCCCCCCCTGTATGCCCAGACGCCGCCCCGCCCCCGCCCCCGCCGGCCGCTCATGCTCCGTTACGCCGATACGCCGATACGCCGATACGCCGTTCCCCTCCCCCCTGTATGCCCAGATGCCGATACGCCGATATGCCGTTCCTTCCCCCCCCCCCCCCCCCGGCCGCTAATGCGCCGATACGCCGTTCCCCTCCCCCCCTATATGCCCACGCCGATACGCCGACATGCCGTTCCCCCTCCCGGCCGCCAATGCGCCGATACGCCGATACGCCGTTCCCCCCGCCCCGTCAACGCTAACACGCCGATACGCCGTTCCCAGCCCTCCCCCCCTGTAGCACGCTAACACGCCGATACGCCGTTCCCCGCCTCCCAGCACGCTTTTATGCCGATACGCCGATACGCCGTTCCCCTTTCCCCCAGCCTACTCCAGTACCTGTTCACCCGTCTAATACCCCTCATGGTCTCCTCGCATAGGGCATAGGCCTCCCCCTCATCTGCAGCAAAAAAAGCCCTGTTTTTTCTAGGCCTGTTTTACGTTGCATGCATTGCATGCATGACGCCACGACTGAAAGACGCCGTTTTCGAAGCGTGCCTCCAACGCTGTACAGCGGTCCGCTCTTGAAAACATTGGGGATTTTTTTGGTTTAGGTCTACAAGGTAAGGTTTGCTGTTTTCCCAAATCGCGGTAGACCATGGACGTCATTAGGCTTTGGACATGGGTGCTCTTTTCCCACGTCGCAGTAGACCATGGACGTCATTAGGCTTTGGACAATGGGTGCTCGTTTCCCAAATCGCAGTCGACCATGGACATCATTAGGTTTTGGGCATCGATGCTCTGTTCCCACGTCGCAGTAGACCATGGACGTCATTAGGTCTTGGGCATGGATGCTCTTTTCCCGAATCGCAGTAGACCATGGACGTCATTAGGCTTTGGGCATGGATGCTCTGTTCCCAGGTCGCAGTAGACCATGGAAGCCATTAGGTTTTGGACATGGAAGCTCTTTTCCCAAATCGCGGTAGACCATGGACGTCATTAGGCTTTGGACATGGGTGCTCTTTTTTCCCGAATCGCAGTGGACCATGGACGTCATTAGGTCTTGGGCATGGGTGCTCTGTTCCCAAGTCGCAGTAGACCATGGACGTCATTATATAGGTTTTGGGCATGGATGCTCTGTTCCCAAGTCGCAGTAAACCATAGACGTCATTAGGATTTGGACAATGGGTGCTCGTTTCCCAAATCGCAGTAGACCATGGACGTCATTAGGTCTTGGGCGTGGATGCTCTTTTCCCAAATCGCAGTAGACCATGGACATTAGGTCTTGGGCATGGATGCTCTCTTCCCAAATCGAAATAGACCACGGACGTCATCAGGTCTTGGGCATGGATGCTCTGTTCCCAAGTCGCAGTAGACCAGGGAAGTCATTTGGCTTTGGACATGGGTGTTCTTTTCCGAATCGCAATAGACCATGGACGTCATTAGGCTTTGCGCAATGGGTGCTCGTTTCCCAAATACCAGTAGACCATGGACGTCATTAGGTCTTGGGTATGGGCGCTGTTTTCCCCAATCGCGGTAGACCATGGACGTCATTAGGCTTTGGACAATGGGTACTCATTTCCCAAATCGCAGTCGACCATGGACATCATTAGGTTTTGGGCATCGATGCTCTGTTCCCACGTCGCAGTAGACCATGGACGTCATTAGGTCTTGGGCATGGATGCTCTTTTCCCGAATCGCAGTAGACCGTGGACGTCATTCGGTCTTGGGCATGAGTGCTCTTTTCTCAAGTCGCAGTAGACCATGGACGTCATTAGGTCTTGGGCATGGGAGCTCTCTTCCCACGTCGCAGTACACCATGGTTGTTATTAGGCTTTGGACATGGGAGCTCTTTTCCCAAATCGCAGTAGACCATGGACGTCATTAGGCTTTGGACATGCGAGCTCTTTTCCCAAATCGCAGTAGACCATGGACGTCATTAGGTCTTGGGCATGGATGCTCTGTTCCCAAATCGCAGTAGACCATGGACGTCATTAAGCTTTGGACATGGGTGCTCTTTTCCCGACTCGCAGTGGACCATGGACGTCATTAGGTCTTGGGCATGGGTGCTGTTTTGCCCAAATCGCCGTAGAATGGACGTCATTAGGCTTGGGACATGGGAGATCTTTTCCCAAATCGCAGTAAACCATGGACGTCATTAGGTCTTGGGCATGGATGCTCTTGTCCCAAATCGCAGTAGACCGTGGACGTCATTAGGTCTTGGGCATGGGTGCTTTTTTTCCAAATCGCAGTAGACCATGGACGTCACTAGGTCTTGGGCATGGGTGCTCTTTTTCCAAGCCGAAGTAGACCATGGACGTCATTAGGTCTTGGGCATGGGTGCTCTTTTCCCTATTCGCGGTAGACCATGGACGTCATTAGGCTTTGGACAAAAAGGGTGCTCGTTTCCCAAACCTTGGACGTCATTAGGTCTTGGGCATGGATGCTCTTTTCCCACGTCGCAGTACACCATGGTTGTTATTAGGCTTTGGACAATGGGTGCTCGTTTCCCAAATCGCAGTCGACCATGGACGTCATTAGGCTTTGGGCATGGGTGCTTTGCTCCTAGGTCGCAGTAGACCATGGACGTCATTAGGCTTTGGACATGGGTGCTCTTTTCCAATGGGCTTTGGACATGGGTGCTATTTTCCCAAATCGCAGTCGACCATGGACGTCATTAAGCTTCGGACATGGGAGTTTTTTTCCCAAATCGCGGTAGACCATGGACGTCATTAGGTCTTGGGCATGGGTGCTCTTTTCCCAAATCGCAGTAGACCATGGACGTCATTAGGCTTTGGGCATGGGTGCTCTGTTCCCAGGTCGCAGTAGACCATGGTTGTTATTAGGCTTTGGACATGGGAGCTCTTTTCCCAAATCGCGGTAGACCATACACGTCATTAGGCTTTGGACATGGGTGCTCTTTTCCCAAATCGCAGTCGACCATGGACGTCATTAGGCTTGGGCATCGATGCTCTGTTCCCAAGTCACAGTAGAACATGGACGTCATTAGGCTTGGGACATGGGAGCTCTGTTCCCACGTCGCAGTAAACCATAGACGTCATTAGGATTTGGACAATCGGTGGTCGCTTCCCGAATCGCAGTAGACCATGGACGTCATAAGTCCTTGGGCGTGGATGCTCAGTTCCCAAGTCGCAGTAGACCATGGACGTCATTAGGTCTTGGACATGGGTGCTCTTTTCCCAAATCGCAGTAGACCATGGACGTCATCAGGCCTTGGGCATGGATGCTCTGTTCCCAAGTCGCAGTAGACCAGTATACCTTGGGGAGGTACAGAGGGTGTAACCGAAGCCTAGGGGCTCCCGATGAATGTCTGCAGCTAGAATCAATCTTTCTAGAGGAGGCTCTGGACCACTGTGATCTGTGCATTAGTCCTACTAGGCCCCGTGGATTACCCGGTAGGACTCGATAAGCCCGTGGTGTTCCCCCTGGAGCCTGGAGGTTCAGCTAACCATCATACACTGGGTTCGCGAGGTTCCCTGGTTTTATACCCTCGCCTATTTCTTCCTTTTCCTGGGATGACCTCTCCCGGCACCTCGCCAGGGTGCCTTTCCTGTGTTCGCGGACACTGCCAGACCCTAAAGAGCAGCGACTTCCGGGAAATGGGTGTTCTTTTCCGAATCGCAAAAGACCATGGACGTCATTAGGCTTTGCAATCAGACTTCCTCTCAGAGGATGGAGCCTTGGACTGATGGGGCGCCCCGGATTTTAAATCAGACTTCCAATCACCCCTGAACTCAGAGGATGGGGCCTTGGACTGATGGGGCGCCCCAAAATTTGAAAGCAGACTTCCTCTCACCACTAAAGTCAGAGTTTGGAGCCTTCGACTGGTGGGGCGCCCCAAATTCTAAATCAGACTTCCTCTTACCCCTGAACTTAGAGGATGGAGCCTTGGACGGATGGGGCGCCCCGGATATTCAAATCAGACTTCCTCTCACCCCTGAACTCAGAGGATGGAGCCTTGGGCTGATGGGGTGGAGCCTTGGACTGATGGGGCGCCCCAAAATTTGAAAGCAGACTTCCTCTCACCCCTGAACTCCGAGGATGGAGCCTTGGACTGACGGGACGCCCCGGATTTTAAAATCAGACTTCCTCTCACCCCCGAACTCAGAGGATGGTGCCTTGGACTGATGGGGCGCCCCAAATTTTACAATCAGACTTCTTCTCACCCCTGAACTCATAGGATGGAGCCTTGGACTGATGGGGCGCCCCAAATTTTAAAATCAGACTTCCTCTCACCCCTGAACTCAAAGGATGGAGCCTTGGACTGATGGGGTGCCCCAAAATTTGAAAGCAGACTTCCTCTCACCCCTAAACTCAGAGGGTGGGGCCTTGGACTGATGGGGCGCCCCAAATTTGTAAATCAGACTTCCTCTCACCCCTGAACTCAGAGGATGGAGCCTTGGACTGATGGGGCGCCCCAAAATTTGAAAGCAGACTTCCTCTCACCCCTAAAGTCAGAGTTTGGAGCCTTGGACTGGTGGGGCGCCCCAAATTTGTAAATCAGACTTCCTCTCACCCGTGAACTCATAGGATGGAGCCTTGGGCTGATGGGGCGCCCCGGATTTTAAATCAGACTTCCTCTCACCCGTGAACTCAGAGGATGGAGCCTTGGACTGATGGGGCGCCGCGGTTTTTAAAGTCAGACTTCCTTTCACCCCTGAACTTAGAGGATGGAGCCTTGCATTGATGGGGCGGATGGAGCCTTGGACTGATGGGGCGCCCCGGATTTTAAAGTCAGGACTTCCTCTCACCCCCGAACTCAAGGATGGAGCCTTGGACTGATGGGGCGCCCCAGAATTTGAAAGCAGACTTCCTCTCACCCCTAAACTCAGAGGGTGGAGCCTTGGACTGGTGGGGCGCCCCAAATTTTAAATCAGACTTCCTCTCACCCCTGAACTCAGAGGATGGAGCCTTGGACTGATGGGGCGCCCCGGATATTCAAATCAGACTTCCTCTCACCCCTGAACTCAGAGCATGAAGCCTTGGACTGATGGGGCGCCCCAAAATTTAAAATCAGACTTCCTCTCACCCGTGAACTCATAGGATGGAGCCTTGGGCTGATGGGGCGCCCCAGATTTTAAATTTTAAAATCAGACTTCCCTGAACTCAGAGGATGGAGCCTTGGACTGATGGGGCGCCCCGGATTTCAAAATCAGACTTCCCCTGAACTCAGAGGATGGAGCCTTGGACTGATGGGGCGCCCCGGGTTTTAAAATCAGGACTTCCTCTCACCCCCCAACTCAGAGGATGAAGCCTTGGACTGATGGGGTGAACCGGATTTTAAAATCAGACTTCCTCTCACCCCTGAACTCGTAGGATGGAGCCTTGGACTGATGGGGCGCCCCGGATTTTAAAATCAGACTTCCGCTCAACCCTGAACTCATAGGATGTAAGGCTCCCCGGATTTTTAAATCGGTCGATGCCCGCGAGGGCGTTGGCGATCTCCTGGTCCGTCTCTGCTCGAGTGTAGAAATCGAGAAGAGCCGTGATGATCTTGTTGTCGACCTGGCTGCTGTTGTCGTAGCTCGACAGGGCCGAGGAGATGGCCGAGCTCACCTGGGCGCTGGTCTGATAGTTCGTGAGCTCGCCGGCCACGAAGCTGGAGCCTCATCTCCGCCAACGACGGCCTGGCCGTGGCGGGCACCACAACCTCGGACAGCGTGGAGCTCACCACGGAGCTGCGGAGCCCCATCGTGAAGGCCCGGCCCACGGACGACTACCTACCCCCGAACTCAGAGCATGAAGCCTTGGACTGATGGGGCGCCCCGAAATTTGAAAAGCAGACTTCCTCTCACCCCTGAACTCAGAGGATGGAGCCTTGGACTGATGGAGCGCCCCGGATTTTAAAATCAGACTTCCTTTCCTTTCACCCCTGAACTCAGAGGATGGAGCCTTGGACTGATGGGGCGCCCCGGATTTTTCAATCAGACTTCCTCTCACCCCTGAACTCAGAGGATGGAGCCTTGGACTGATGGGGCGCCCCGGATTTTAAAATCAGACTTCCTTTCACCCCTGAACAGGTACTGGCGTAGGCTGGGGAAGAAGGGAACGGCGTATCGGCGTATCGGCATATAAGCGTGCTGGGAGGCGGGGAACGGCGTATCGGCGTGTTAGGGTGGTACGGGGGGAGGGGAACGGCGTATCGGCGTATAGGCGTGGCATAGAGGCTGGGATTCGCGTATCGGCGTGCCAGCGCGGACGGGGGGCGGGGGGGGGTAACGGCGTACCGGTGTATCGGTGCATTAGCGGCCGGGGGGGAACGGCGCATCGGCGTATCGGCATCTGGGCATACAGGGGGGGAGGGGAACCTCGCATAGGCCTCCTCCTCATCTGCAGCAAAAAAGCCCTGTTTTTTCTAGGCCTGTTTCGGGTTGCATGAATTGCATGCATGACGCCACGACTGAAAGACGCCATTTTCGAAGCGTGCCTCCGACGCTGTACAGCGGTCGGCTCTTGAAAACATTGAGAATTTTGTGGATCTGGTGTGTCGATCGGTGTATTGCAGCAATCCTGCGCCGATCGCTCGCGGGGCACCCCTGGGTCGGTGTATTGCCGCAACCCTGCGCCGATCGGTGGGGCATTACTGGGTCGGTGTATCGGTGTATTGCCGCAATCCTGCGCCGATCGGTGGGGCACCCCTGGGTCGGTGTATCGGTGTATTGCCGCAATCCTGCGCCGATCGGTGGGGCACCCCTGGGTCGGTGTATCGGTGTATTGCCGCAATCCTGCGCCGATCGGTGGGGCACCCCTGGGTCGGTGTATCGGTGTATTGCCGCAATCCTGCGCCGATCGGTGGGGCACCCCTGGGTCGGTGTATCGGTGTATTGTGTATTGCCCCCCCGCAATCGAGCCATATGAGCCCTAGAGCGAAGAGCGCTGCGGAGACTGGGGAGGCTATTGGCCTCTGATGGCCTTTGCCGGACTGGGAAAGCGGTCTCGAGTGTCCGAAGGCAACCCGTCTGAGAAGTTTACGTGTTAATGCCCATCCAGACCGGACACCCGAAACAATTCGCAACAAATTGGATTCAGCCCTGTAGTTTGTGATGACGAACACACGGAAGACAAGTAATCACGATTTTCCAAATCATTCTGATAGTAGCACCTGTAGCACCCGGCTCGAGCACACCAACTCAACTACTTGTACTGTTGAAACCGCACCTGCGAACAAGTAAATGATTCATTCATCATCATTCATTCATTCATTCATTCATTCATTCACTCCATCATTTCATTCATTTCATTCCATTCATTTCATTCATTTCATTCATTTCATTCATTTCATTCATTTCATTCATTTCATTCATTTCATTCATTTCATTCATTTCATTCATTTATTCATTCATTTTTCATTCATTTCATTCATTTTCATTCATTTATTCATTCATTTATTCATTCATTTTCATTCATTCCTTCATTCCTTCATTCCTTCATTCCTTCATTCCTTCATTCCTTCATTCCTTCATTCCTTCATTCCTTCATTCCTTCATTCCTTCATTCCTTCATTCCTTCATTCCTTCATTCCTTCATTCCTTCATTCCTTCATTCCTTCATTCCTTTCATTCCTTTCATTCCTTTCATTCCTTTCAGTCCTTTCACTCCTTTCACTTCTTTCACTCCTTTCACTCCTTTCACTCCTTTCACTCCTTTCACTCCTTTCACTCCTTTCACTCCTTTCACTCCGTTCATTCCTTTCATTCCTTTCATTCCTTTCATTCCTTTCATTCCTTTCATTCCTTTCATTCCTTTCATTCCTTTCATTCCTTTCATTCCTTTCATTCTTTTCATTCCTTTCATTCCTTTCATTCCTTTCATTCTTTTCATTCCTTTCATTCCTTTCATTCCTTTCATTCCTTTCATTCCTTCCATTCCTTTCATTCATTTCATTCCATTCTTTCCCTTTCCATGCGCAACGTCCGGTAAGAGACGCCTTGCGAGGCATAGGGCAAGCCCGATTTTGGGCCCGGTAACCCGTATTACGGGACGCTGTATCATGATACACCCTGAGTGACATGACTACTCGTGTCGAAAAGCACAGCAGTAGTCGAAAAGAAGTGCTGAGAAGCGACCGCCCGTGTCGAAACACTGCAGCGGCCGTGCAAAAGGCCGTGTGTTTGCAACTACTCAGAAGAGTACACAGAAACTACTCAGAAAGGTACGGATCAGTAAGAACCTCGCTGCTCCAGATCGGGTATCTGAGATTGAGGAGCGTTTGTCTCGGGTCATAGCTCAAGCGCCAGCCCTGACGTATGTGCCACCCCAGTATCACAATGCGTGTTCCAGTCCAAGGCAGAGTGCCGTGATCTTTCGTCGAGTCAAATAGGCGGTAGGGGTGCAGCGAGTATGCCGCACCCTGTCGGCCGTCAAGCTCGATCGAACCATCAGGGTCCGCTGTCCAGAGCTCCCCTCCCGTTTCCCAGCGGCTGGCCGGGATGATGATGCTATGCAGTTTGCGATGATTATGCTGATCTCGATGTACGGGTGTCTGGACATCGCAACTGATAGCAGCCGAGGAGAAAAGATGCCCAGGAACCAGGCTGGAGATAATTGTAGCCAGCAGTAGGGATGACCATGGAAACTCAAGCGTATTTTTAAAAAGCCCTGCATTACCACCAAAAACAAAAGCTCCTGTCTGAAAAAGCATAGGGTCTCCACCTTCGTTGATCCGCTCCCTGGCGCGCTTGCCATCGGCGGGAGCGTCCCGAAGCGCATCCACCCAGCAGAGAATCTCACTGTAGTGAACCTCGCCCATGCAGAGAAGTTGATGCGCAATCACGTCGGCGCTTCGTTGAGGATCCGGCAGAGGCTCTTTAGTTTGCGTTCCAGCGGTCAAGGTGAAGACTGGCTGCAGTCGGTCGGGAGTGTAGACACCGAGGTAGTGTGGCGAGCCACCGTGGCAATAATCCGTCCAGTTGGTGATGACATCGTCATAGTCTGGGGGCTCCGGTGTTCCACGACTTTTACCGAGCTCTGCATGCCAGTCCTGTGTGGCAATGCTGTCTTCAATCTCCATCGGCGCTGCACCATAACCGAAAGGCATTGTTAGTTACTGGACTTGTGACACAGCTTCAATCAGAGGTCCAGCGAGGTAGCAACACAAAAACTAGGTGGTGGTACATGTAGTTGCAGGAAAAACGGCACTGTGTGGACCCAGAATGCCTATGGCGGGCTGGGTACATGCGAAAGACAATGCATGCGCTGCAGCGCAAACCCGAACGACAAAGCATGCGCTGCGCTGCGACGGTAGTTTTGCACAGTACGCACTTCGGCGGTATTGGTTATGAGCCGTAGCCCACCCTACTAACATCAAAGCGTGACTAGGGTGAATTTGCCCCGTGGCGTACCACAAAGCGGGCCGCATGCACGGTCGCGTTCCCTTTAGATGTGTTGGAATCCTAGAAGGTAGGAGTTGCTAGTGAACCACTGCTCCTCACTACGTTTCAGGGGTCTGGGGGCTATGTTATCATCCGTAAGGTACAGGCGCCGATTGCTGCTCAGAACGCTCTGATAGTGGCCTGAGTGGGGTGTGTGACCGCTATGCACAATCGCAAAGATGAGGCGATACCGGTGCATGGTCACTTCAAGGCCCGCGCCAGTGTTGTACACTGGAAGATGCAAAACCAAACCTGTTTGAAGTGGCACTGTTGAAATTATCTTGCGCACTCTGCCATCGTGAGCAACATTGAAGCGCTCCAGCTGTAGGACAATGAAAGGCGCCGGCGTGACCAAGGCGTGTGTTGGGTCTTGCTGATGCCAGCTCTGAACGATATCCTGAAGGGTGCCATGGACTATGGGCAGTAGTATGGGCTGCCACAGTGGAGCACAGTCCCTGACCTCAAGATAGGCGTCCCTGATACGACGGGCTTCCCACGTGCCTGTGAAGGCTGGGGGGTTTGCACAGGTCATGAGATATGCCCAGAATTCTGCTACATCCTGCTGCTCAGCTAGCCTGGGCCAGTCACGGAGATGACGATGCCAAGATAGTAGACCTGGGATGTACACGGGATTACGTGGGGTGCCGCAGGTTAGGGCGCTTAGGGCTGCACTCAGGGTGCCGTGGGTATCGGCCGGATTGGCAGTCAGCTGCCCTGCCCATGCCAAGGCCTGCACGCAGGAGTTGAGATAGCACACGTTATGAGGGTTTTTGAGGTAGAGGCTTAGGGGCTTAGGCGGCATGGCCTGCGAGGCGCTTACAGGTTCGGGTCTTCCGCTTGCGCCGTTCCTGGGCCCATGTCGGCGTCCGTGTGCTTGTCCTTGCTGGCCTCCTTCTCCATCGCGCTCCACTCGGTGTCGCGCTCCTTCTTCATCGGGTGCGTGGCATCGAGGAGGGGACCTGCGAGCTGCGAAAGGCGCACTGCCAACGGCTGGCGCTTCATGCGGTCCGCGCGCAATCGGGCTCCAACCAGTCTCATGCAAGAGTTGTCGCAGAGACGAGTCAAGTGCTGGTGCAGCTCGTCCGCCCGCTGGCCCCTGTTGGAGATCATGAGGACGAAGGGAAGGGTGTCGCCCTGGTAGTTCTCCGCCATGGGGCGCGTGCCGTGGAACTTGTGCAGGACGTTGTCCTGGGGGATGATCCCGAAGATCGCGTTGATCGTAGTCACGGCGTCTTGGTGCAAGAGGGGAGGTCTGCTCGGATCGATCTCCTGCTGCTCGGTTGTCGGGTTCCAACGCAGGTAGGCCCAGCTGGGCGGGTCCCCCGGAGTGACCCATCCATGCTTCTCCAGCGTGCTGCGACGCTCGGGCTGGAGAGCAGCCGCCATCTTGATCTTCATGCTGGCCAGCAGTGCTGTCAGCAAAGTCACTCGAAGTGATTGGGTCACCTGGGGTGGCGTGGCGTTCTTCTTTTCTTTCCACTCCTGGCTTATGGTGTACAGCTCGCGCGTCATCCCAAAGCCCTGAGTATCCAGATACAGCATGAAGCCGGAGTCGCTGCGAATCGCAGCCTCTGTGTCCTCGTGGCGCAACGTCAGGCGGACCAGCGTGGCCACTAGCTCGCGGAGTTCCTCGCCGTTGACGGTCTGGCTGAGGCTGGCATTCTTGTTGTCCCAGCTGCTGCTTCCCCACTGCGTTTCCCAAGAGCTCCAGGACCGTCCTTTGCCTTGGTTGCCCCCCTTGTAGCTCGGGCGCCGGTACTTCTGGGCACGATCCGGGTCCCCCGGATCTCGGCTCAGCTTCTTGTCCGAAGCCGCTGGGGCTTCCGGCGCTGCTCGCGCCTGTGCGGCTAGAAGGTGTTGAGAATCTCCGCCGCCGCTGCCGACATGTAGGGCAGCTTCCGGATTCCTGACGTGATAAAAAAGACAGGCTTGAAAGTATGCTCCGCATGTAGGCGGGTGAAGCGCACTGCTGGAGGGTACAAAGCCGCAGGCCTTGCAGGGACCACCTTGCAGGGACCACGGTAACGCAGGCGATGGTGGGCTTTGAGCCGCCTTTTGACTGCGTCACGGTGTTGCCAGAGTGGACCATGCTGCTTGCTAATGTGAACCTTGATGCCTCCTTTCTCTTTACTACACCACTTAGTGCAAAATATGCAGTACTGGCTGAGCTCATTTCCTCTCTTTTCAGCACACTGTATCCAATCTGCATCAACCTCCTTCTGAAAGTCGGGTTGGTCTGAAAGGGGTATGACTACCGGCTCTGGGGATTCTGCAGCTGTCCGCGGAATCTGAGGCCCCGCAGCGGACTGCATAGCAGGCCCATTGGGTATTTGCTCGGCTGCATGGGTAAGGGGTTGATGTAGGATTGGGCATGAGCTAAGGATATGATTTTCGAATCCCCGCCATTGCTTGAAAACCGCCTGACAATGCCTGCATTTAGGCATCCCGTCGACACTGTGAGTGGCTATCGAGATAGCTGCTCGCGCCTGCGGCTGTGTGAGCTGCGATGGGACCAAGCTGCGTCCGTGCTGTTTGGCATAGTGTGTTCGCATGGTCCTAAGGTCCGGGAAATAAACCCCACACTGGGGGCAGGCTACTTGCTTATCCGGGGCTGGGGTGAGTGTAGAGCAGCTGGCCGCGCTCTCAGCTTCATGGAAGGCTCTAAGGAGATTGGTCTGCCAGGCGTGCTCAGCGTTTTGGCCTGGGTAACATCCACCTGAGTGCTCACTGGCGGTGAGCCGGCTGGCAAGCTGAGCTTTTAATGCCTGGATGACAGTTGGGATCTGGAGCCTATCGTGAAGGGCCTGATTGCTTTCACGGGTAATGTGTCTCGGGGACTTGGCTATTGCTCTGAGATGGCGTAGCTCGAAGCGCTGCAGCTTGCGCAGCCCTTGTGCCGTGACACCCACTGCCGCAAGGCCATAAGTGGAGGAGCTGCGTATGCAGACTCTGTACATGCGTATGCGATGCATCAGACTCAGGCCTTTTTTGGCAAAGAGGTGTTTGGACAGTCGTGACATGCTGGCTCTAGCGGCTTGCAATCTCTTATCAACACTTTGATCTTCAAAAGAATCGTAGCTCATGACAACCCCTAGGTAATCGATGGTTTTGGCAGTTTGCAGAAGGAGTGGTTCAAAAGGCTGGCCTGCGTTTAGATACTCTTGTCCCCTCTTTGTTGAAAGACGCTTTCTAAGCCAGCGTTGCAGGGGCCCTCCCACTACGCGGATCAGAATTTTAGACTTCTCAGCATTTACCCTCATACCTGCCTCCTCTAGTACAGCGAATAAATGTTGGATACGCTGAAGCATTCTGGTGGCATCCCGTATGCTGTGGAGCTGAAAGGTGCTAATGAAGTCGTCAGCGAAGGCTGTGACGTCCTCTTCTGTCCACTGCGCTGAGGAGCGCTCTGCGAGGTTGTGCAGCATGTACGTGGTTACACAGACCCAGAGCAGAGGCGAGAGGACACATCCTTGACGTATGCCGTTGCAAAGGTCAATGCATCCCTCCTGCCGATTATGCTTTACGTGGTATTGGGCCCTGTGGAGCTCAAGTATTAGGCTGATAGTGTCCTCTGAAACTTCCAGGAAGCAAAGCGCCTTAGCTAAATACTCATGAGAAACTTGGTCGAACGCTTTGGACATGTCGATGCTTAACATGGCTGCCCCTAGTGCCTTGACGCTGGGCACTCCGGCTCTGCGCTCGTGCACTTCACGCTTGTTGCCTCTTAGCATCTGGCGCACTTTGTGGCAGTGCTGGGCAATGCGGCTGATGGCTGTTTGCGTGCTGCGATGTGGTAAGTATGCGAAGTGGGGGGTATGGGCAAGTTTAGGGAGGATGTGAGTAAGGAGTCGGGATTTAATGATGTGTGCGAGGCACTTGCCAAGTGGACATTGCAGGGCAATGGGACGAAGGTTTGAGGGTATTTTGGTGGGTTTATTGGGTTTAGGGAGTAGGCACAACCAGCCGTCTTTCCAGCTGCACGGCAGGTCCAGGAGCCCTGGGCGGAGGTGATGATCGAAAAGGTGCTTGATGTGCGGTAGCAGGTCTGCGCTGCATTGCTTCCAGACTTCTGGTGGCACCTTTCCGACTGGAACTGCCTTGCCGGCTCGCTGCTTGGACAGACTCGAAGTATCTCATCCTCTGTGATGACGTAGGGTTGTGTCAGGATGTGGCGCGGTCCTTCTTGAGGGGCTCCCTGTCCGTACAAAGTTTGGTAGTAAGTATGTATAGACTCGAATTCCTGACTAGGGGTGAGTAGTCTGTCCTCAGCATCGCGGATCTGGATGCGCTCCTTTGGAGCTGCGGGCGCCAGCTGGCGCACACTTTGGTAGAGCGCGTGCATGTCACCGGCCTCTGCAGCTCTCTCTGCGCCCTCAAGTGCATCAGTGACTATTTGCTTGCGGCGTTCTTTACCTTGTTGTCGCAAGAGCTGCTGGCTTTTGCTGAAGGCAGTGAATCGTTTAAAGGCCTCGATGATATGTCTTAGGGTGCCGGTGCGGCGTCCTTCGGGGTCAAGGGGGAGATATCGGAAGGCTCTGCCATGGTGTTTTAGGGCTCGGTAACGCATCCAAAGCTGCTTAACGTCAAGCTGTGATTGGCGGGTTTGCTAGGGCCTGGGCACTCGCTGCTGTTTGGTCGGTGGAGAAACTTCAGCACAGCTACGATAGAGCGTGGCAGTCAGTTGTTCCGCCGTCATCGTCGAGGCCTGTGCCAAGTTAGCTCGGATTGTTGCTTCAAGCTTATGGGCCTGTGGGCTTCCGGTACGCAAGGCCTCTCGAAGCGAACTTCTGCAGAGGCCCTGCGTCTCCTGCGGCTGAGGCTTCGGGAGGAACACTGGGGAGCGGAGGCGTGCGATTAGTGCATGATGTACACCACCTCTCCTCCAGGGGGAGTAGGTAATGGTTTTTACCGGCCGACAGCATCGTGCCTGACCATCTGCCGTACGCAGATCAAGCAATATGAAATCAATTTGGCTACGTTTGGGATTAGTGCCATTCTTCATAAGTAAATGACCTACGGGCGGAACCCCAAGTGTTAAGAGCACAAAGGTTATGGGCCGTAATGATTTGAACCAGGTCCTCAACGTCTGGGTGTGTGGACTGAGTGCCTTGCTGTTTGCTGATTCCTGGACCGATGTGTTGCCCATTGGGTCGCAGAGCACTGTTAAAATCCCCAGCTACGCATCGGACATGTCTGTGTGGCAGGGACCTGAGTAGTCCATCCAGGCGCTGCCAGACTCGGCGGCGCAACTCCAGCCGGTTCTTGGCCGAATCGTTGTCCCATGCCCATTGATACAGGCAGATCAGATCCGCATGCGTCTGCTGACGCCCATTTCCTAAAGGGATGCGAGCGTGAAGAATTCTTCCTGGGACGACTACTTTGTAGCGTATATCCTGTTGTTGCGCGACCCTGTTAGAGATGAGAATAGCAACCCCTGACCATCGATGAGTGGGATCTGGGCTGTTGATGATCGACCAGCCTGCTGCGCTGTACTCTAGATCTTGCTTGCCCAAACCATAATGTGTCTCTTGTAACATAATCACATCATAGTCCTTAGAGGCGGTAGATAGCCAAGTCATGAAGATGTCGTATGTTGCTGAGCACATACCTCCAAGGTTCTTCGACAGAATACGTAGGCGGGCTTTGTGTGGGGCTGTTGTCGCCACTGTACCCGCCACCGGACTGCTGGCTCCGGCGCTGCGCTGCGTGCCAGGGTGCGCGCCCAACTGTCGAAGAGAGTGTTCCCTGCCTCTGTATAGCGTAGTACCGGATGCTGAATTTGTCGCTCGTCTGATGGCTCTTCGTAGCGCTCTCTTAGCGCCTGTCTTTCGCGATGTTCTTGTAGCCTCTCCGCTGCGCTTCGCCTGCTCTGGGGAATTAGCGCTTGGAGCTTGTGTAGCTCCAGGAACGTGTGCGGACCACGCTCCAACCCTCGCATCTGAGGCTGCTCCAATGCGAGCTGTGATCTGGTACATGTCGCCTCCCGGGGACTTGGGACCCCGGCGGCCCAGCGATGTTTGCTTCTGTCCCTCGAAGGTCAGATCGAAAAAGCAGAAAGCTAAGATTGCACTCAAGATCAGAGTTGCTTCCAGGAGAGAATGTCTGGATGAGGCAGCGTGAGAGTTCATGCGCAGCAACAGAGATCAGCGAGGCAATGGCTTCATAAGCTAGGGACAGCTCACAAGAGGGCTAGGGCCGAGATGCCTATTCATTCCATTCATTCCGTTCATTCCATTCATTCCCTTCATTCCCTTCATTCCCTTCACTCCATTCATTCCATTCATCCATTCATCCATCCATCCATCCATCCATTCATCCATTCATCCATTCATCCATTCATCCATTCATCCATTCATCCAGTCATCCAGTCATCCAGTCATCCAGTCATCCAGTCATCCAGTCATTCATTCATTCATTCATTCATTCATTCCTCCATTCCTTCATTCCTTCATTCCTTCATTCCTTCATTCCTTCATTCCTTCATTCCTTCATTCCTTCATTCCTTCATTCCTTCATTCCTTCATTCATTCATTCATTCATTCAACCATTCATTCAAACACTCGTGCGGGTAGTCCCGCACCTTGGTGGGCATCGGGCTAATGACGACCAATGCTGACTAATGCTCATGAATGGCCAGCTATGGGGCAGGTTTTATCAATCCAACAACCAAACTGACTTTGCTAGGCCAAGGAACAGCAAGGAAGAAGCCAGCTGGGCCAAGCGAAGCAGCTAGTAACGGCCCCATAGCTGGCAGTCTTGCCTCGCAGCAATCTGCTAAAAGCTCAGCAAGACTTGCTTCACGGCGGTCCGTGGACCCAGCCCGTGGAGCGCAAAACTGCACCTGCGCGCCGGTCCGCACGCGCAGTTGTTCGCAAAACAGAACTTTAGCGGTATCCCTCACAGAACCTGCGGGCTTTGCTCGGCTGCTGCGCTTGTTTCACGCAAAGGAAACGGCAAATAAATTAAAAACTACAGCTTACGACCATAGGCAACCATGAAAGTATAACCTCCAGCCAGGAAATTAAACTACGAAGGGACGCCACCGCTGCCACAGAGAGCCATTTTTTCCATGCGGCAGCAGTGGCATTCCATCTGGAGAGTGGGCGTCTTTGACCAGGAGGCTACCTCACCAGTCTGGGTCTAGGAGTGCCTGAAGACCAAGTGTTGCTTCAACAAGGAACTTAGCACAACAGCACTACGGCATGGCGTCACCCGACGAACGGGACTACTAGGCCTCAGAACTGCCTCACCCGACGAACGGGAATACTAGGCAAAGTTCACCAGCTTGGCAAGTAGACCGCATGTCCGGCCTTACCCGAAGTACGGGACTACTGGGCCTTGCAGAAAAAGCCTTACCCGACGAACGGGACTACTAGACAAATCCAGATTCGCAACTACGATTGCAAGCATGTAATCCTGAGTGTGCAAGGTCACAGACCTGACAGGTCCGGCCAATACTATGACCAGGTTGCACTTTCAGGAGATCGCCTCCCCCAGAACAAACAAGTCCTTGCAGCGTAGAACGCGAAGTTGTGTTGTTGTTGTTGAGATGTTGTTGTTAGTTGGACTTCGAAGCTCGCTGCTTGACCCAGAGACGTAGCCAGGTGGGACCAGTGTAGACACTGGCTTTCCCTGGCTACACGAAAGTATAAGTAAACAAACATCCCCTTCGTTGATTTTGGCAAGTATCTGCGACCAGTAATACGAAACGAAACAAGCAAATTCCGTGGAGTCTGTGAGCAATACCGAACCAAACACAAGCATTGACCAGTGCCATCCGATTTCACTTCCGAATACCAGAGGCAAGATTTGAAGGCGCAACAGGGATTCACGAGCCTTTTCCAGTCACTTGGCATGGTGGGGCTGCATCGGCAGAGAGCATCTGTAGACATGCTCACAACGTGTCCTCGGAAAAGCGCAATATTCACGAAGCCAAAGATCTGCTCTGCGAACTGTGCCATTCATGAATATGGAATGAAACATGATAGGCCCTCTGCCACCCGCGCTATTTCGCCCAAACTGCAAGCAGTTCGAACCCCCCCGCCGTGCGGTAAGACGGGAACCCTCACGCTTAGGAGCAGAGCAAGTTTGCTTAGCAAGTGAATATCTCCTCCCGGAATTGGGACCGGGCCACGCTGTGTATGACGCCTGCAACTTGGCGTGCCTGTCTCACCACCGAATGCGAGAAATCACTGAGACTCTGTGAGCCTCAATACAGATTTGACAGCACTCCCATGCGCAACCTGATCTAAGAGAATGGAAAGTGGTTGGAGGACCAGGATCTGTTGCGATCTCTAACGGTTGGGCCCTCCGCAGGCTGTCTTGTGGTGATTCGACGGCTACATTTCGCGGCTGCTTTAGCTGGTAGCGCTTAGTAAGACACTCAGCAGCAGCAGTAGCAGCAGCCACAACAACAGCAGCAGCAGCGCTGCACCTGCAACAGCCGAAAGTAGTGGTCATAGCTGCTGTCTAAGACACAACAGAGAACCGCCGATCCCAAGGCAAAACGTTCAGCAAGAAACAGCTGTCCCGTGGCACAGACGTGTGGAGAGCTCTGCATGCTTAAATACGGTGTAAACTCCTGACGGAACAACCGCACGTTGCAGCAGGGGTTCCTTTTCAAGAAGAGGCTGCTTTGATCTGATATAAGGGCGTGTTTCAAGACTGCGTCCCGCTTCATGACACTCCTCCTCGACTCTGGATGAGGATGCGTGCTGGTTCAAGCGAAATTCTGCTGCAGTCGCCACCTCCTTGGCTGCCAGCTCCAGGTGCCACAGCGGTGCCGCAGCCTTCACTCCACACACCGGCGCCTGGCGCCCGCGAAAGCGAGATGTTTGGGCATGTTCGGACATGATGCACTGCCTCGAACAGCTCTGGTGCGTAGGACAGCTTCAAATAGAAGTATCCTGCTAGCCTAAGAGCTGCAAAGCAATGAGCATGTCTCGTTTCGAAATGCCGATTGTCGCTAGCTTTCGCCGGGCGGCAGCGGCACGCCGAACAGCCAAGTTATCAGGCTTGTCAAGATTGCTCGAAGACAGTATATGATGTACTCGACCGCGCTGATCGTGAACAACACCACCTGGCAAGTTGATTGGAAGATGTCACATGCCTCAACCGGGCACATGTCTTCACGTCAACACGAGAAACACACATTTGCTGCATTTGCTCCATACAGGGGCCCCCTCCCACAGGCAGCGGGAACCGTCGTAATGGGCGCCGAGGTGAGCCGCAGCTCAGCTCGCTTTGCAGCAAGGCTGGCGCGCAATGCCTCCGCCTCATCGTCAGCAGCCTGTGCCTGAGATTCCGAGAGGCAGAGACGTCAGAAGCGGCTGGCGGCGAAGGGAATCCGCCCGGGCCGGCGGAGTTGAGACACCCCTTGGCCCTTGGCCCTTGGCCCTTGGCCTGGTCGCCGGAGCTCTCGGCTGCCCGTCGCCTTCGGAGGCCATCAGCCTCACCTGTCGCCCCCCCGAAAAGACAGCATACTAGTAGAACCACAGGAACAAAGACTCCGCCTTCACCACTCATTGGGCTCGTGGTTGGACCCAAATAGCTGGAGCCAAAACTTCGACAGATTCGAACTCATTCTCGCATCAATTCAGAAGAGCAGTTTCCTGCTCAGCAACATGTGGGGTTGGGCATCCCAATCCTTCTCAAATGCCTCCGGTTCCCAGTTCCCTGACTTTGCATCGTTCGTACCGAAGAGCATCACGACAAAGTGGGGTCGCCACCTGCACACGAGATCACATCTGAGACTGAACAGAAATCGTCATGAGCTCCACGCACTCGCACGTCGTCAAGTTTTCGCTCCTGTCGACATCGATCACGGATTCTTCGAAAACAACTGGGTGAGAGAAACATCCTCCCAGTACGGCTGGTCGGCAAACTTCTGCGCAGTTGCACCGGCAACTCCAAAATTCCGCACCTTCAGCATCAATCCGTATCAACAAAGCGCGCAAGAATTTCACAAGGTATCCTGCCAATCTCAAAAAAGATCCTTGTTGCTCAGGAAACAGGCATGTCACATAATTAAGCTCGCTGACGTACGATGTTTTTTGCCGGCTGGCGAAGGAGATGGAAGCCAACATCATAAGATCCACAGAGAGCAACCGAGCACACAGTTTCGGAAGATCTTTGCACGAAAGGATCGCCTGGACATTCATCCCTGCACGGTCGAAATGGGCCTCGACAAGTGACTTGTTGACATGGATAGCTTTGAAAGTCATGTCCAACGCAAAGACGCATGCGCAAGCATTCCCCAGCGCCTGCAAGAACTTGGGATAGCCACAGGCAGTTAGAGAATCCCCAACACATGCCTCTGTGACAAGCACGATGCAAGCTTCTGGGCACATGTACCATGCGGATCGTGGATTCTGTAAACACTGGCTGGTGGACCACTCGCGCGACAATGTGGTGAGTCTCGACAGCAGGGTTCAAGCGGTCAATGACCTTTGGAGCTGCACCAAAACTCTGTGCACACACACACACACACTGATGCATTGATACACATACACAGACGCACACACACACACACAAACACAGGGCACAGGGCACAGGGCACCAACAACTAGATTTGCAGAACTACAATTAATCAGAGAGCGAGAGAGAGACAGAAAGAAAGAAAGAACGAAAGAAATAACAAAAGAAAGAAAGAGAGAGAAAGAGAAATAACGAGAAAGAGAAAGAGGAACAGAGACAGACCCAGACAGACTTGACGGAGAGAGGGAGGGAGGGAGGGAGGGAGGGGGCAGGCAGGGCAAAAGATGGAAGAAGAAACAGTGCGAAGGAGGCCTGCGGGAGATGGCTGCAGTCGAACTCAGCAACTGGCTGAACCCGGAAGGGGAACTCGGAATGCATGCGTGCCTGGGTCGCACCACCAGACAATACGAACATACAGCCAGCGCCCAAAATGTGGAATTTCTCAGTACGCTCACGCATCTCGCTCACATGTGGCAGGTCGAAAACCTCCTCTGGCAGTTCCTTCCAGGCGTTTGTCAGAGGCATCTGGGCATGAAGATGACATGGTCACCTTGAGAAGGGCTTCCATGTCGGTCACAGGCATTGTCAGTAAGATCCTGACAATGATGCCCAACACATTATGCTCTTTGGCCTCAACTGGTCGCATTGGTATATGTTGCACGGCTATCCAGCTTCAGTATGCAAACTTCGACTCCTGTGAGTTCCGGATGGCTGTGGAAGCACCTGCATGAACGGCCACCATTGGTGGATCGGTGAGCATGCAGGTGACATGTAAACACAGTCTTCACAGTCTGCAAAATGCTCCGCTGTTCTAGATGCGCACAAAAGAGCAGCTGGGACCGTGCACCTGCATGTAGGCAGCATCGAGAGGGAAACACATCCTCTCTGCCTCACACCGCAGGTCAGGCTTTCACGCCTACGACACGAGCAGCGGATCAGATGCCCGAGCTGCAAACGCCAGAATCTGGGGCCAACATTCCAAATCACCAAAATCTGCTGCCCAGGACGATTCGAGAAGTCTGAGGTGAGAGCTCTTTCGTCGACGCTTCGCATGCCAATTGCATATGCCTACACAAGATGTAACTCAACTTGCGATGCAAATCCTGAATTCTAGGCATGCCGCTTGACCAACCAAGCAGAACTTGACTGCATGGGAAGCGTTCGACACGTACTCTCTGGAATTGACAACTTAACAACGATTGAATTGCAACAGTTCCGAAAACGCACAGGAACGCCGAGGAACAAGAAGAATGTCGATTTTAAAGTTCTGCATGAATCCCCCATCTTCCCCACCCCCGGCACCCTGCGGGCAATCCCTTCTGCGGCCGAAACCCCTGCACCAAACCCACATTCCCTAGCCAAACCAGAACCTCCCCGTCACAACGAGACAGGAAGCCCACGTTTCCTGACCTCAAATTGAGCCTTCAAAAAGATCTATGGAAAATATGAGTTCTCGGCCGTTCTTGCATAAGGATTCTTGACTACCACTCCGGGAGCAGCAGCCTCGATGAAGCTAAGCTCGGAAAGCGCTCGGCCCCAGCTGTTGCAGCAGAGGCTGCCAAACATGTTGGGCAAACCTCGGAAATGGTCCTGCACGGGTCCATGGAGATGGAGCACTCCCCGCACCCCCAGTCTCGTATTGGTTAACCATGGGGTCATGCAAAAACAAACATCTGGCCTGCTCGCTTTGCCATCGCACGTATCCTCGGTTCGTGCTCAGATGACGCTTCTGGCAAAAGCAAATCCAGACCATCCTAGCAGTCTCTTTGCGCGTTCGAGGTTTTGCGCTGCTTCAAGGAATGCAGATGCACACCACGAGAAGCCACGGGGGACTCACTTCGACCTGATGCTTCATCGGTTAGCGGAGGGATACAGGGAAGCTGAGTAGAGTTGCAGATCTCGTCGTAGACAATGCTTGGAAACAACACGAAAATGAAAGAATGATTTGGAACTTGGGTGGATCGAGAAACCTCTTCGATGCCAGTGTGTACCCGCAGCAAGAGCAGCCCTGCGGGAGCAAGTGCAGCAAAGCTAACTGCAGGAGAGCGCCCGAATTGGACAAAAACGAATTTGCTCCAGCTGGCAATCCAGTCTTTTCTCGTCAGTGTAAGAAGCATGTTCTGCACGGACTGTTTGGTGCAGGGCAAAAATCATAGTGTTTCGCTGAGCATTTGTGTTTCGCTGAGCATTTGTTTGTGTCGTGTTTTTTTGCAACATGTTGAACTGGTGTTTGCATTGCTGTTTGTGCATTTTGTTTGGCACTTCTGATGAGTTTGCTCATAGCTTGTGCATGTTGGGCAGCTGGGCCGAGGTACCCCCTGGCCATGGTGGTTGCCAGAGCGCAACCTGCCAGGATCCCTATGGCAGAGGTGATCACCTTCGACACCTGGTCTTGGGCGACCAAATATCGTCTAGCTTGGTATGCCCCTGCACCGCTAAGAGCGCAATCTTCAGCGGGACCTGCGTCCAGGATACATTGTTCGAGCAGTCCATGGTGGATACAATCATAGGAGATTTGCAGGTCAAGGAGGATGGCAACGAAGTGTCTTTGGTTGGAGGTTGCCCTCTCCCCTATCAAGAAACGCCCAAAACCAACTTCGATGCGGGTATTACCTGGCGAAGCCTGGTCCCATGGATACACGTACTTGGTGTCCGTCATCCACACGTTTATGACATCCCTTTTGCAGAAACACCAAAAACGGTAAGTAACCGACGTCAAGGTGACTGGCCTTTCCATGTCAGGCTTCTTGGGCAAGATGGCGACCAGGTGCGTGGTCCACTGCTCCGGAGGCGAGCCCTCCTCCTCCATATGGTTTAGGAAGGACGCCAAGCCCTCCAAGCCTTTGCAGGGGAGGTGCCGAAAAATGGAAAAATGGGTTGGGGCGTCCTGGTTTCGTTTGGCGGCCGGGAAGTCCCGGAAAGGTCTTTCTAGGGCTTTCAACTTTTGGTGGAAGGGCATTCCTGTCTGCATGCCCTGTTTAAACCAAGCCTAACATTGGTCGCGTTGCCCTCCATTTGTCTGTGGCCTTCAGCTTGGTGGAGGGGTCCGCTTCCTGCAGATGTGCAGAAGCAGCTGCATAATCTCCGCTCCCCAAGATACGGGTGGTCGTGACTGGTGTACTCCTGATCGCGTTCGCGGGTGGCGACCTTAGCAAACTTGACCAGCTCCTCTCTTGTTTGGTAGAGCTGTTAGAAACTACTACCGGAGTGGTCTCCCGGGAATTTGCTGAGTCGTGCCCACCAACCCACGGGTTTGTGGTATTCGGTCTGTGCAGCCCGTTGTTTTCCACAGGCCCCCACGTCGGCGAAAATTACCAACCACGACCCATTAACGGGACAGAGCAAATCTTTGCCGCTGCCGACCACTCTGCTAGCCACCACGAGGGGCTGCCAGCGTGTTGACAATCTTTGCCCACGGTGTTGATGCAAAGGAAACGGGCGGCCGGGTGAGTTTTGGGAATTGGGGAATCCACCACGCGCACCAAGCGTGGGGTTTTTATGGGGCGTGCTCCCGTATTGCACGTTGGCTCACCTGCATGCAGGAGTAAACCTCACATGATTTGGGGGATGTTGGTGTTGATCACGTCCTCTGGTAGGAGGTTAAAGCGGTCAAAGTCACCTTCGATAACCCAAAGCTCAAGTACAGTGCGGATGTATGCTGCGAGGTCAGCCAGGACGTTGCTGTTGGTGTCCAGCTGTTCCGTCCGTGTCACAGAGGTAGAGGGAGACTAAGGTGACGTCGCGCTTTCCTTTGCACTACGTGGGGCGTGCCCCCTTGGTGTGTTTTGCAAGTGGAGGGTGCCGCGACTGGGTTGCTATGGCTACTCTATGTCTGCACCACAGCTAGGGCCTGCAGGAAGTTTTGCCGTTTTCCTTTGCCTTTGCCTCTGGTGGGAGTCCTGGAGGGCCACGGGCGGCTGCTGCCAGCACAGCTCTGGTGCAGTAGGTGAGAACCTAATCGTTTGGGGACTCTTTAACCGAGGGCTCTTATGTAAGATGCCGTTTTGTGCCAAATATTGGGCGAACTCGCCTCTAAAGTGCGTACCTCTATCGGTAGCCACGATTTTCGGGTGGCCTGCCGAGGAGGTCCAGCCGTCCACCAAGCTTTTCACGCATTGGCGGGCGCTTGGGTTCCCGCCTCCTGCCTTGATCAACACTATCTGTTGGAAGCTAGTTGGGCGGTTTCTGCGTGAAGTTTTCGGCCAGGCGACGACCTCTGCAAAGGTCCAGTTCTGGGCATTCCACTTTTTTTCGCACTGGCGGCAACTGCGGTCTCCTTGGGCCACTGTGTGGCAGTAGATCCATGCCCCGCGCATGGCACGCTACGTAGGGTTTACTGACCGTGGCCATTGGCTCGTCCACAGGGGTAGGCTACAAGAGGAAAAAGTTCCGGAGCTACCAAGGGCTAACTGCCCACACCCACCTGTTTTCCAGGGCTCGATCCACAATGGCCTTGAGCCAAACATCACAACTGCAATCACAACTACAACAACCGCAACAACCACATTTGCAACCACCACCACGACAACGACAACGCAGCCGAGTCTTTTCCCTACGTGTAGCCAGTGGGGCACACACAAGCGATAGAATGAATCAATATAGGTCTGATGCCCACCCAGCCATATCAACACTGCTGGCATCCTTTAAGCAATAGTCGCAATCCGGGATCATTCCTAGCTGGAGCTATGCAGCGAACAGCCCGAAGCATATCAAAAGGGAACAGTCATGCCCCTTTATGGCAGGTCCAAGCTGCGAAGTGATGCCGAGTCAGCAGCTCGGCGCATGGCATGACCAACCTTCAAGGAGAATTCGAAGGTTTTCCTCAAGTGAACTGTGACGCAAGAAACCTGTTGCATCCAGTCGGGTTCGTCTGGATCCTGGCAAGCAGCCCATGGTTGCGGAGAAAGGGCAAGCGCTGAGCGTCACGAATTGCACTGGCAGGCTGATCCAATCCTCGGGAACCTCGAATGAAAGACCGTGCGTGACCACATTGGCAAAGAGACGGTCCAATCCTACACACACATCAAGATGCACCAAGAGCACCATGGCCACGCAGAAACTGTCGTCTGTTCGGACCCACCTTGGCCCGGTGCTGCCTCTTCGAGTGCTGCCCGGTAGTCTTTGGTGACCTGCCCAGCAGCAAAACCGCCCTGTCGCCAACGTCGATCTTTCTGGGAGCCGCACGAGGACTCGCCGTCCCCGACCCAAGCGTCGTGCACGCTGTGCTAGGAATGCGACTAAAACCTCCAATGAGGAGGAACCTGAACGTAGAGCATTATGGAGCAGTCAATCCGCTTGGCAATGGGAAACGCTACATCAATCGGCGCCTGGGACCCTCTCCTTCAGTGCTGCAAGTTTTGCCTTCCGAAGCGCGGCTTCTTGCAGCGATGTCTTTGACACAGCAATAGTGATTGTCCGTAGAGCCTTCTGGTCTATTCAAATTCAGATCGCCTTCGGCGTGGCGAAGGCCAGGGTGGCAGCGCCGTCCGGGCGGCCACGGAGACCACTCCGCAGCCTCAGCGAAGCGGGTGGTCTCTCAGACACCCTCGCTAGATCTCTCCAGCCTGCGTGCTACAAAGGACCATCGCTCCTGCAGAACACGGCGAGTGCGCCCAAGAACAAGCTCGCCCATGTATTCAGTCACCTTTACGTTCCATGTTCGATTCGAGTCTGGTCATGTGCGCCACGAAACTTTGTAGTCAGTTTTGTGCACAGGGTTGCCTCAGCGACTGATCTCAGAGTGACTTGCTGGTATCGCAACGCGGCCAGCGCTTGAGCTGCCTGCTCGGCCATGTCGGGCCACTTGTCATGCTCAACATGTGAAGGATAAGATGCTATGAGCATAACATGTTCCAGTTTTCTCAGGGGGTTCATGACCCGGAAAAGGAGAGGAAATAGATTGGTGCAATCAGCAAACAGAGCTCGCTCCTGTGCACGCGGCCAGGATGGCCACCATTCATTGAAACTCGCAGCCTTTTGGCATCCGAGGCGAGGCAGGGCCGAGAAGCTATGAGACTGAGCAGATAAGAAAAATGACCTGCCTCAGAGTTTTCAACGAGTGTCTCCTCAAAAGCCTTTTGTGCCGCAGCTCGCGCATGGCTGGGCACAGGTGCCTGGGCACCCTCCTGAAGTTGGCGCAGAGGCATCCAATCCACACTTTAAGATCGGAGGATCTTGCATGACTTGTCACTGTAGACTTCACGAACATGACACATGAGCCGTGGCAATGTCTACTACACCCAAGCTCAACTGAACGGGTCCAGCTCTGCGTACATCCTTCGGAGGAACTCGGCCAAGCCGAATATGTCGCAAAGCACCTTCTAAACCAAGCCGGAGCTTTCAATAAGCATCGACTGGCCGGTGAACCTCGGCCTGGAAGCCTGTCAATCCTAGATTCCGCGGCCAACCAAAAGCTACATCATCAACTGCTGCCGAGGTACATGGTTGAAGGAAATGCCCAAAAGACCTCCAAATGTTTGCCATGTTTTTTGCAGAAAGGCATTGCTGATGGAGCAGGCAGGAGGCACAAGGGAATGCAACACGAGGGGTTGACATCTCGCTCCACAATCCATAGTATGCCTTAGATTTCCTCTCGGGTGACAAGTACTCACGTTTGCTTGGCACGCCAACAGCAGAACTTGCAAAGTGTGGAGGTATGTCACGGTGGATCAAACACAAATTGGGAATTAGGCTAGGTCTATGATTCCCACGCAGTCACTACAGCACCCACATCACCCACAAGCAAAGAAAGATGCAGGAATGGCTTCTTTGCCTCGTGCAGTGCCCTCTTCATGGATGAGCTTGACTCGCAGAAGGGGTTCTTCTTCGCCTGTGCATCCATTTATTATAGCTGCTCAATGCCTTCTCCACCTATTCAACCTTGTTATAGACCTAGATTCGAGAGAAGCAAGACAGGGAGCCTAAATTTCAAGGACGACTTTGACACGACCGCAAATGTCCGATCGAGGCTTCAAGTCCGGATCTCTCATAAAAGGTACGGCAGGCGGAGCAGGCGGAGCAGGCGGAGCAGGCGGAGCAGGCGGAGCAGGCGGAGGGGGGGAGGGCTGACGCGTGGGCTCAGCACTGGAGCCCATAGGCTCAGACCGCACGAGGAGGTCTTGGCCAACGATGCTGATGGAACCAAAATTTCTGAGACGGGAGCCATCAGCTTCGCCAACGTCAAAAAACCCACATTGATCGTCTTGGCATGCTAGCTGCAACACCTGTGCAAGGGTTTGGGCAGCAACGGGGACCGCAGCACTACGCACAGACATGGACTGAAATGGCAACCAAAAGAACCTTGTCCATGCCTCGGTTCCCGGCAACCCGCAGGGCGGCACCGAAGCCATGGTGAAGGGAACCCCTGCGTTGTTCAAGAAGATCTTCCATCTCCTCGTTGCTTCCGAGTACCGACGGCATGGCTGTCGCAGATACCCCACGTCCAGAATTCCAAGCTCCCGGCTGCTGACCTTCCTGCTTTACCTGCAGCACATTGCGCCGACCCATCAAGTATCAAGGGCCCGCATCATGACAATCGACACCTGACGCAGACGTCCGGCAGCTGCCGGGAAGGCAGCCAGCGCTTTGGCCAGGGCTGACTGCCACTGGGCAAGATCCTCGCCCACCTGAGACATAAATCACGTCGGTATGTTGCTCATTCTCGGATGATGTAACTTTAGTGTCCCCCAGCCCGCTCGGGGAAGGCGTTTGGACACCTCCTTCCTGCTGTCGCTGTCCTGCGCTTGTGGTTCCTCTGTTTGCCTCTGTTGACCTGCTTGATGATTGAAGCATGTGCATGTGCATATACGTAACATGCAGCCACAAGCGTATGCAATCATGTAAATAAATTACCTCTCTGTCCATGCAAGTTCTTTTGCTCTTGCTTGCTTGCTTGTTCACAGAGTTGTCAGGAGCCCCCTGCCGAACAGACCCCTGCGGCTGGCACCAACTGGCAACCCCTCTGCCCACGTCAATACGTCACGGAGGATGTTCTGCTCCGCGTCACAGTGAACGCCTTTTTCCTTCCTCTCCAACTGATCAAGGCGGGAGCGCAAGAAAAGCACCAGCTCAGAGCTGGGAGGAACGTTGGGGTCGGCGGCGGGCTTTCAGCAACAGGGCCCGGGCCCACGAGCAACACTGTTTGGCTCGGCTGCTGCGACATTGCACGGCACCCAAGTCTTTCTTGTGAAAGCTTTCTCTCTTCCACTCTCTCTGATTCGCCAGCATCCACACTGCTGACCTTACTTTGCAGGTCTTCTGAGACACTGTCACCGAGGCCAGCACATCTGCAATCAACAAAGCCACGTCCACGGGTGCGGCATTGACGAAACCTCACTGTTGCTGTCAGTGGCAAAGGGGCGTCAAGGCGAAGTTAGCGAAGCATCGCACACATCAGACAGCAGTATCTTGGAATCACTGACGACATCTGCCGAAGACGGAATGACAACTACGCCGAACAGAATGGCCTCGGTCGCCAAACCACAGTGGCACAGGTTCCGCCTGTCGACGGATATCTTACTCTCGCTGCTTGTGGCTTCTGTTGGCCAGTTCATTTAGCGCAACTGCTGTCGAGAGATTCTAGTCCAGCTCCAGGTGACCAGGTACAAGAAGGCTAACAGAGCCTCTGCTCCAGTTGCCTCCTCTGCCCGAACTAAGACCTCGAAGAAGGACAACATGGCTGGCAGAAGTCTGTGAGAGCTCTTTGGAACATAAACCATCCCCAGCCACAGCCGACTCCCCTGAGCATTCTGCACGTCGCCCGGCTTTTACCTGGCCGACCCAATGCCTGAGAACTGCTTTTAAGTTCTACTACATCACAACGCACAGCTGACAGAGGACCTTGCGTCATCCTTGGCCCAGCGCCAGGAACGCGAGCATATACTTCCTCAGTGTATGCCGTGCTGCAGGCTAGCAGAAAGCTCATCTTGGAACCCCTTTGCTGAGAGCATGAGCTATGGTGCCAAGCTGCTGGATTGTACATGCTTCCTTCTCCCACCTGGCGGTGCTGCTTGGACTTGGGACCCTTTGGACTGTCTCCGCGCTGAACTCAGGTCTCCAGACAACTGGCGACCTTGTGGCTCAGCTTCTTGGCAAGCTCTGCGGCAACTGCCCCTCCCTCTGCAGGCTTCAGGTTCTCGGGCTTCAACCCGATCTCCTTGTCAAGGCATTCGAACAATCTGAAGAACTTCACAGCTTTATCCAGGTGATCACACTCGGAGGGTTTTCTCATACTTCCGGTCCTTTCCAGCCACACGAACCGCATACCGACCAACATCCTCCGATTCAGCGGTGCGGGGCGGCGGAACTCACAAACCACCTAGCAGTACAGGTCGCATGTCCTAATTGGGTCTGAGGCACTTTGCCGATGTAATCTCTTCAGTTCCGTGCTTGTCCCAAGGTCCCCAGTGCCTCTCGCCACCTGACGATGACACCACGGTGTCCATTCAGCTCTGGAGACTTCCCAAGTCCGTGTAGGACAACCCTCTGGCCTTAGGATGTCAAGGTCCACTTGAGGAATGCCTCTTGCAACCCGACATGAACCAGCCGCAGCTTACTTGTACATGGAATATGGTACTCGCTCTCTGACTCTCAAGCTGCAAGCACATGCATTCCGAGGCTCCGGTTCGAAGAGCCGGCTTTGCCTGTACCAGGGGAAACCATGCAAAAAACACACCAGACTTGATTCTGATGCACTAAAGCTTCAAGGCCCTTCAAGAGCTTGCAGGCCTGCACACGATGGCCACCGCCGTCGGGAAGTGTCATCAGTACAAGAGTTGGAGAGTTGACAAGGCTTGGATGCACAGTGAAGTGTTGTTTGTCTGCCACGTCCAGAAATCTGTTCGTACTTCGTCTGCACGTTTGTCTGAATCGCATCACTGTTGTTGACTAACTATCTATGCGGAGCAGGTCTATGAAACTGGCTCTAGACGGCCTGAACCGTGCGCTATACAAGCTCATCCCTTTTGCAGGCCAAAAAGTCCAGTCCAGAGGGACATGTAAAAGACGAATCAGTCACACAGCATCTTGATTCATGCGGACTGTTTCTGCTCAGCCAATGGCGCTGCTGAATATGTTCACGTCTACGTCCTCTTGTTCTGCTTCAGAAAGCTCAGCAGCTGAACCTTCGTGCTTTGAGGCCTTGTGAGCAAATTACTCACACACTGTGGTGAATCAGTGAATGAGTCTACTGAGGCTTGCACAGTCGGCCGATCTGATCTGGAGTAAGTTGCATGAGCTTCTGCATCAATTGCGCCTGCAGAGGAGCTATAAGCATCATCCAACACAGAAGTATTCGTAACCCCCGCCAGAAGAAACGAAGAAATGCTGAAACTGAAACGCATCTGTAGATCGCGGTTTTTTTATTCGTGGGGTATGACGGTTGCTTAGAGCTTGACACCTTGACACTTCTGTCCTCTCTTCTTCTCCCTGCCTTGACTGCTTTGTCTTTCTGTCTCTCTGCACGGGGCCTTGTGGCACGCCTTTCTCCCCCTCCCTCCCTCCGTTTTCAAGATTGAGACCCATTGTGGCCGTGTCAGCGGGACGGCACCTTCTGGTCAGCGTTGACTGCAAGACCAGACCCAACTTCTTCAATAGGAGGCGGAGGAGGCGGTGGGAGCCTGAAGACGCACAAAGAAATGCATCGGGGCACGCTCGATTAAACTGGTACGATCTGGGAAGCTGGCTCATGTTGCGACATCTCGTCCTGCCGCAGCGGAGCTGGCAGCATGCAAGCCGCAACTGCAAGAACACATGTCTCACATCCTGGAGCTGTCTGGCTTTGGCTTTAGCTCGCTGTAGCTCTTCGGCGCTCAAAGGCCTCAAATCTTGACATCGTGTGGAATGGAGACGCCGAAACACCGCCGCGCACTTTGCTTGCATGTCAGGCTTCCATTGGCTTCTGGGCAGCTGGCAAGCCCGGCTCATCCAACATCCCGGCCAAACACTCAGCATGGATCAAGGCCTGGGTCTTATAGCCACCGTGGCTCTAAAACATACATGACTCCTATGCCGCAGGGAAAGCTCAGTGTTCTGTTCGGCACATGAAGCATCTAAGACCCGGCCAAGCACAACCAACGCAAAACGTGACCATCGAGTGCTGCACGTTGCAGATTTGCGGATTTTCTGCAAGAATTCGCTGTGCCGTGACAGGGGCCTGAGCCTGTCGAATCCAACACTTCACTGTCATGCGCGTACCCTGCTTTTAGCAAACTGAGTGCACCACACTCAGCTTTTGAATGTGACTCAAGATGTAGAAAAGCTGGCCCATGGTGACATTTGATACCTAACGACACATGCATCACAACCAGTCGTCTTTGTCGTGTCTTGGATTGTGGCAAAATCAGCGCCGTACGTATAAAACAACAGATCTCTTCTTTGCACACTGCTCGGGGAGGCTCGCCTGCTGCACCAGATCGGATGGAAGCTCGCGACCGGCCAGGGATGTGACGCCAGGCGGCAACCTTCAAATGCGTGGAACACGATCGTGAACCGGTGGTGGTCCAGTGGAGGCATATTTTTGCAGCACGGATTCATTCGTGCCTTTGCTGTCCATCCATGCCGAACCACCAGCCAGCCGAATGCTGATTGGGCAATCGTGGAAACGACCTGACCTAGTGCCTAGGCCCAGGCATTGAAATGTACTGTTTGTCAGAGGGCACGGGTAAGTCAGAACATGACACATGCAGATAACCAGATAGCTTGACAAAGCATCCACACATCGCAAATGTCTGCATCAAGCCTGTGGTGAACGCAGCAATGTTGCTGAATACTGTGAAATACATTTATTTCCCTGTGACTGAGAATCTCAAACGAGGTCAACCCAAAATGTTTTCAAATTAGATATGTTTAGCATAATCCGACAATCTCAACATGAAGCAGATCTCACAGAAACCATATCGTTCTCTAAACTAACTCGAATGAGTCAAGGATTGCAGTGCAGAGCGTTCTGATGCAATCCACCTTTTTTACCGCAGAGATTGCTAAGGATGCGCTGCAGTGCGAGGCATTGCTCGCCGTAGGAGAAAGAGGCATGCGATGCCGAGCTATCCCCCTGGGCGTGGAGGGTGGGTGAAAAAGATTTGTTGCATGCGATGCAATGCGAGAAGAACGCTAGTTGTGAAAGCTTGTGCCGAAAAGCAGTGCGAAGCAAGGTTACATTCGACACAAGTTAGAAAACACAGTTGACTCAAAACAAAAAACTCACAACTAGTGTTTTCTGCACCGCTGAACAAAAGGGCTGCCGTACATGTCTCTGAAGCAATGCTTACATATGCAGGAATGTCACCTCATGTAACACCCCGCCTCGGGACAGTGCTGATTCAGCGCTGTCCCGTCTCTTTCCACATGAGGTCCCTCGATCATCCGCGATGGCACAGCTGACAGGCTTGATACGTTCGAGCACTATTGCTTGATCGCAGGGCCCCACATGTGGGCTTATGGTACACCTGGCCGCGAGACGCACAAATGACCACTGGATCATTTGTTCCAGCAGCAACTCTAAGCCGGACGATTTCTTGCTCGGCTTGGCGCAGCTGGTTCCTAACTAGGCCTAAGGCGTCCTCGCACTGTTCTTGCTCACGGCATCGTTGGCTCAAGGCAACTTCGAGGTCTCTGCAGCGGCGGGTGTACTCGTCGGCCCATAGGCGTTCTCGCTTTTCATCTTCCGCTGTATAGCGTTTCACTCGGACCTCTGTCTGCACTGCCGCATCCACAAATTGCTTCTGCGGCTTCTTAAAAATCCTCCTGAGCATCTCCGTGGTGAAAGAGTAGATGCCATAGAGGAAGCTCATCAAAATGACAAGCATGATCAAAATTGCTCCCATGGTCCCCATGAGCTCTGCAAGGGCGTCCTCGAACAACCATCCCACCATAGCCATGCCCAAGCCCTCATAGCCTTCAACGGTAGTGGCCTGCAACAGGATCATGAGGATCGGGAGTAGGTTCTTGGTGTGGCTCGGGGTGAAGCCGCTGCTCTTGACGATTCTCCGGATTTCATTCTTGCGATCGGCTTCCTCTCGCTCGGCTTCTCCGTAGGGGTTCCCGAACTCATCGATAGCTCCAGCCCTGCAAAGGAGTTCTTTCAATTTGCTGTTGCTGAGTGGCTTCGTCCCCACATCAGCGGGGTTGCGGGTTCCAGCAATCGCGGCCGCTCTGAAGACTTTCTCGCGAATTGCAGCTTGCACCCAAAGGTGCCCACAGGCTATGTGCCTGACCCGTCCGCACCCCATTCGTTGCGAGATCCCTCGTGCTGCTGCTGAGTCCGTGCGCAAGACGGCATCCACCTGATAGGCATTCTTGGTCATGAAGATAAAGCAGTCCTTGAGGTAAATGATCTCCGCCGCACCATGGAGCATTGCATAGAACTCACTCTCAGCACTTGACAGCGCAGTGTTCTTTTGCGTCCGAACCAGGCTGGCAATGAGGGTGCCGCCCAGGTAGAGCTGAATCGAGGATCTGCTCCTTCGGTCTTTCTTATGTCCGGCCCAATCAGCATCGGTCACGCTCTCGATGACAACAATGTCCCCAGGAGAGGCTGGCCCCATTCCTGGAAAATCCACGCAGGCGCTTGCCCTGACCCCATGGATTCTGAAGCCCAGGATGGGCAATCGCATCAAGTAACCAGCCACATGCTTGAGCTTGCGGAGAGACTCTGCCGTGGGAGCTGCCATGCTGCTAGCGAGGCAGCACACTGCAAACTGAATGTCACACCTTGTGTGGGACAGGTAGAGAAGCCTGCCCACTCCTTCTCGGTAAAGCTTGGCCTGCTCTGGCCCCAAGGTTGGGCTTGTGTCTGGCTCGAGGAAGCTTTGGTTGCACGGTGTCTCTCGGGCCTTGATGCTCCCAAGGGACTTGAGGAGGGCCTCAAGGTACTTGGTGGAGGAGAACATGATCACCCCATTTTCATCCATAACGTACTTCCGCTTCAGGAACTCGAGGGGATTCTCAAAGGAGAGGGGCTCGCTGACCTGCACGGTGACCTTGCTGCTCAGCTGGTTCACAAGCTGCTCTCTGGCCTCACGCGTCGAGGCAATGATTCCATCATCTGCATGGAGTACCAGCTTGGTTTTGTCCTGGCCGCTGGCACGGAACAGCGTGGGCTCTTTCATGTAGCCTTCCATGCCGCCTTCTTGCAGCAAGCCCTTCATGAACTGAAACCACTCCGACGCTGCACACCTTTGCCCTGGCAACATGAATTCCAAAATGTATGGAACCATTCGCCGCTGAGCACCTCCGACAAGCCGCTCGTCCACCTCCACAATAACCCTTTCCTTTTGGGGAACATTGAGGTATGCGTCTTTCACGTCAATGGTGCACACCTCGAGGTTCTCGCTAAGCGCTGTCGAGAGGAGGGAGTGCACGATCATGAGGTTGGAGGATGGCGCAAAGAGCTCAGCGTGCCACGGCTCCCAAGTTTTGCACTGCCTTGCAACGAGCCTTGCGCGCCGCACCCAATCAGGACGGCGTCTCCAATCATGCACCATGCGAGTGCTGAGCAAGCTGTGTTGTGAAAGATCCTCGCCCGGCTTAGGCGCTCGCAAGACCCCCATTTTCACTAACCTTTCCACCTCCTTCTTGTCGGCTTCCATGTCTAGCTGCTCCAGCTCTTCATGTGTAGCCTCCGGCGGTCTATCATCATCCCCGCCTGGGCCCCAATTGCCATCACCATGGTGCTCCTCATTCTCAAGCATTGGCGTCACTTCATCTGCCCATTCCTCCCAGCCGGTGAGCTCTTCCATTGAGATGTCGGCATGCAGCTCGTTCACTCCGGCATATCCTGGGGGATAGAGAGGACCTGGGCTTGAAGCTTGCGGGGAGGAGCCTGGCTGAGGACGATCAAGTAGAAGACGTGGGCGCTTGGGCTGTGCACCTTCGGGCTGCTCGGCTGGAACAGCGCGTGTACGACTCTCCGCTGGACTGTTTTCAACAACCATGTTCTCGGGACCACTTGCTGCTGACGCTGACACTCCGACCCCAAACTCGGCTGGAACTGATGCACCTGATGTGTTCTCTGTTGGGGCTACTGCACCTGATGTGTTCTCTGCTGGGGCTACTGCACTTGCTGTGTTCTCTGCTGGGCTGCTAGTAGAAGAGCTCCTTGAGCTTGGGCTTGGAGGGTCACTGGCTGCTTCATCTCCACCTGGCTTTGGGGTCGTCGCTGCAACAATGGACTCGGCTGCTGCTACTCCAGCTGCTTTTGCTATGTCTGCAAGGGTGGCCGAGTCAGGGAGAAGAGGCACCCTGGACTGGACATACATCGGCTTCCTCCTCTTGAGTGCTCCCTTCAAGTCCCAGGGCAAACCCTTGGCATTCACAACCGAGTCGGCTGACCATTGCTGCTCGCGCGGTAACCGGCGCACTGATCTGGTCTCAAAGCCGCCTTCTGGGGTAAGCACAATGTGTGCCCCGGACTTTTCACTAAGTCCTACCCAGATCCCCTTTCGCCACTGAACTTCACCTCGATGCTTGCTGCCGCAGTAGGCAATGCACTGCTCCCCAAATGGAAGCATCTTTGCACGAAACTGGCGGCCGTTCACTATTTCATAGGGGGGCAGGCCTTTGTTGGTAATGAAGAACCGGTTGTGCACAAAGCTCGAGTGCCGCAGCAACCACGCAAAAACCGGCATTCTCCCTGAGACCTCCGCTTTGATGTTCTCCTCGAGGCTGGCCTTCAAGGTGAGGCTGTGCCGCCTTATGGTGGAAACGGCCTTCTCAGCTGCTCCGTTGGAAGCGTGTGACTCACGTGGTGTGAGCCGGAGCTCCGTCTTGAGGTTTAGCCGGAGACGGCACGACTCAACTGCATTAAGAAGCTGCTTGATGGAGGGCTCGGTGTCTCCCTGGAGGATGATCGGTTCCGTCCCATTGATTGCCATGCTCATCTTGACAAGGGCCTCGGCTGACTTCTTAAGGGTGCTGCTGCCTTTCGCCAGCAAGGGCAGAGCCATCACCCAGCCCGTTGTGCTTTCAGCTGCCACCAGATTGAGTCCAAACTGGTCTCTGTAGTCCGGGCCTTCGGCGTCTGGCTCCTCCTCCTTCTTCTCACCCTCTTGCTCCTCTTCAGGAACATCGCGCACACCACGGCCCCGCGTAAAGGTGTAGCAGTAGTCAATCTGGATCACCGGGGGCTTGCCGAGATTTTCATCCTCCTTCTTGCCCTCAGCTTCTCTCTCGTGGGGCGTTTGTCGCGACCTTCCCATCAAGCATGCTTGGCAACACGGTGCAAAGGGCTGGTGCGTGATTGCATGGAGTTCTTGTTGCTTTGCTGAGGGGAGCGCTGGCATACGAAGAGGTAGGGCATCTCGGCTTCGTTCATTGAAGACTTTCTTCGCAACCTCAGTGGCCAATTGGCGCTCCATATCTTCTCTATGTTCACGCAACCTTCTGAGAACCTTTGCTTTGCCACCGCTTGTTGGGAGGCCAAAGTTCACGCACAACTCCTTTAGCTTCTTGAGTGGCGTCTCCACCGAAAGCTTCACATCATCGATCTGTTCCTCGGCTGCCGGCTCGGGCTCGTCTACTCTTCGGCCCTCGGCCCACACTTCAGGGATCACATCGCCGA